GAAACAAAATGAAAGAAAGTACTTCAGACAGAGTGACTTTGTCCTGAACTTTCAGTCCTCCTGTTATCTTGCAATACTTGATGAATGTGTACTTTCCATTTTCCCTCAGGGTCTATTTCACCAGAATTCACACTTACAGTTTCCGTCTCAGCTACATTAATTCCCCCTTTCAGTTTTAATACACCTACCCAGACTGCTACATGATGTAGATCGTTAGATACTATCGCTGTGAAACCAAAAGCTTTCAAGAATTTTTAAACATGGCTGTTTCTGCAACCAGAAACATGCCCATTGCTAAAATTCAGTGTGGAGAATCATTTATGTCTGTGGCAACCAACTTTGGCAAATCAGGACCTTTTGGAAAATTCTCAAAAATTCTTGCACACAGAATTTTGTTGTGTTATATTTACAGTATAATTTGAAATCAGAGTAGTGACATTTGATTATGCATGTATCAAAGTGGAAATAAGAAAGATTGTATGTGCTATTTGGGTGATCTCATATTTGCTACAGCGACAATTGCATGCTTTGCCTATATTTGCATCAGAAATGTAGGATTAGGGTTGCAATTTGACTTTAGGGAATTTTTAGTGTTCAGATGAGGGTTAAGGTTAGGTTTAGTGTAGGGTCCAACGTTGAAGTACGGTAAGTTTGGTTAGTGTAGGAATTTTCACAGGAACACTGTCTTGTAACTCATGTTTGTCATGGTATGGATTCACTCACATGCTGCATTGGAAGGTGTGCATCACATGATATGAAATCAAATCTTTACTTCACCCGTAACATGGCTGAAATTGAATCTCCTTGACCTGAATATATCCCTTAATCATGTAACACACTACTCCCTGTCTAAGGAGTCTAAGAAGAGTCAAAAATAGGAGGTAAATCTGTCATGTTGGGGAGGTAAAATATCATTCAGTAACTTCACAAAATTGGAATTGCATGTAGAGAAGTGTTGAATACCTAGTTGGAATGATTCATATAGTTTCCCCTAAGGCTAATTTTCTTTTCTTGTGCAGGACTCTGTCAGCTTCTTCTGTTTGTTTCTGATTAAAGGTAGTGTGTCCCTTTTGCAGACAACATCAAAATCTGTAGAACTTTGCAGGAGTTATGAATATGTCACGTACATGTATGTCCTATCTATGAAATTTAAACGTTAGCAGTGTCCTAGTATTCAAAGTATGCAAGGAAACCCATTTACTTTCTAGACGTATTTTCCCATAAAAAGACTTTTTAAGCCCTGTTGTTTTTAGGGAAGTTCAATCTATTTGTAAAGGACACCTTTTAAACAGAAATAGACATCTTCAAATTGGCCACAGTAGACAGATTGCTAATCTTCACACTCTTGTTCTCAAATTTCCAAGGGAATTATTAAATAGTTTCTATAGCAAGACTTTATTGAACAGACAAGGTAACTTTGGAGGATCTCTTTTTCTTTGAAAGGTTGTTAAACTTTCGCTCTGGAATAGTATTCACGTTGGTTCCTGCAGGTCCAATGATTCCATTTAGAGAGAAAGGAAACAAAAATCTAAATGTTACCTCATAGGAAAAAAGGATTATGAATAAACCAGGATGGCCTCTCTAGGGTAGTTTTAATTCAACATTGTTCCTGATGTAACAAATAGACCTCTACACACCTGTGTTGGTCTATGACAGCTCCATGATGATGACGATGGAGGGGAGGGGGAGGGGTGCTGCTGGGGAAGGGTAATGACATGTGACGGGAGGTGGGGGGGGGGTGTAGACAATGATGATAGACCAGGCACTCCGGGCAGACGAGTTCAGGTAAAATGAGTTCACATGTGGTTAAACTGAGGTTTCTGATCGTGACGTGCAGGTAATTGATGGAGACATGAGTTACGTGTCCAACCAACAGTTGGAGGAAATGAAAACAAAACTACATTATATTTGATGTTTTGTAATTGTTTATGCTTGCTGCCTTTCACTCATTAACCACTCATCACTTTCATTCCTGATGTGTTAATACAAGGATAATCTACCCAGTTCCTAAAGTCATTGGTTAATGATAACCAGTCACATTTTGGTATTGTTATCAATTCACTTAATGTATTAGATAATTGATTCCTATTAAATCAAACTTTGATTACACAAACAACTAATTAAGTTTTATACTAAGTGAACAATGCGAAATATATATCTAGCATTAATGATTAGTGTCAATCAAATTTTGATAACCTTCTATTCTTGTCATATTTTGACAACATAATATACTAATGGCCATGAGAGACATTGTTCATATGTGACTGCCATGTAATGATCAAAAAAGGAAGAAGGTGGTTAAAGAATAGTTGAACAGTTGTTAATTACTGCCTATACACGTAGCACTGATGCAGTGAAAGGATCAGTTATGGATTAATTAAAGTGAGCTTTAGTGTGGTACATTATCATGTGATATTAATAGATTATCTTCAGAAGATGTCACTAGAAAGAGTAGTGAAACAGAGAGGGAAGGTAGAGAAGTAAGAGAGAAAGGCCAGTCAGACACATTTTTTTTTTTTTTTTTTTTTTTTTTGAGGGGGGGGGGGAGGGATAATAGAAAGAAAATATGGTAAGAGAGAGAGAGTATAGAAGTGCTTTAAAAAGAGACAGACATGGAGATGAAAGACAGACTAGATGGAGAGGATGGAGTGGATAAGGGATATACACAGTGATATAGAAAGGAATAGACGGATTGAAAGAGGGTGATAAATGCATGTACACTGTACAGAGAGAATGAGTGATAGAGAGATAGAGATAGATGAAGAGATGACGAGGAAGAGACAAACAGAGAATAAGTGAAAGAAAGAAATTAAGAGAGAGAAAAGGACACAGACAAACAGACAGACAAACAGAAACATAGTCAGAGTGAGTGAAAGTGAAAGAAAGTGAGAGAGATAGTGTGTCTTGAAGAAGACCAGCTGCAGTCATTTACTATTCAGAAGTGTAGGAAGTTAACATTAACGCCTGGCTTAATTGCCAATCTGTTCCAATTTATGAAGGCTAGTAACATAGATACTTAGGGAATATAATACACAGTGTGGAGACTCTCCTAGAGGGAAAGCCTACTTTGGTGAGTAGTTTTTAAAATATCTTAATAATTGGATTGTGTAGTTTAGAAATTGATTTGTCTTCATACCATTTACCCTCGTAATGTGCATCGTGTGTCACTGGAGATGTTATTTGAATTCTATTGGTTTATACAAGATAATTAAATGTTTGACTGGCATATTTTACTCCTTACATGTTTTCGAATTTCAAAGTTTGAGGACATGTTTTTTGTTTTTTCAATTAAATTTGTTCAATTAATTGTGGATGTCTAACATTTATTAAAGAAAGGGGGCGTTATGGTTTAATGTTTCAAAAGGACAATTAGAAGAATATTTGTAAATGGATGTCTGATGTTTGTCGAAAGTGAAATAAGAGAATATCTAAAGCAAGAATACATGTCGGAACAAGCATACCTCTAGAAAGAGGTAGAAAATCAAACCAAATAAAAGGAACACATGAAAACATTAAGAAGCGGGAAACAAGACAAAAGGAAGGGAGAAAGAAAAAGAAGGTCATCCTGATTGTTATGATATCACCTCATAGATTGATTATTCATATTTGATGTGTTGATTTAAAAATAGGGGGGGGGGGAGGGTATTACTCATTTAAACAATGGCCTTGTATCATATGATACTTGTGAAGGTGACAATGATTAGTGTTTCACTTTACCGTATCTATTTAAAACTGACAATTGTTGAAATATGACACCAGTTGTGAGTTATCAATATCAGTGAGGGAGTCCTGCCACAGCACGCTCATAGTAGGTGATAATGATGTCACTATAGTCCATGTCTATTGTACGTGACGGTCCATTTGGCTCGTAAGCCATCCAGCATTTCCTGTATTAATACCTGATAGACTCAAGCAATAATAGTGCCCTTTGAGGAGTGAAAGAGGTGTTCATATGATGATTAATTTTAGTAGCTACCATTTTATCATTACATTTTACTTCCCCGGTTCCCCCCCCCCCCCTTAAAAAAATTATATTTGTTAGTACAGTATTAACATCAATATCTATGTCATGAGTATTTAGGTATAGAGAGCTATACCATTCCTAATCTTTGTTTGTTGTTAAATAGTTCCTTTTCTTTGTCATTTGAGAATTACTTCTTTGGGTTTACTTGGCTGTAGAGATGTAAGCTGTAGCTTATAATGGTACATGGAATATATTTCTGTATCTATGTAGTTTGAGTTTTAACCATTTTTGAATAAAACTGTTTTTAATTGAATTGACTCTGAATAACTGTAATTTTGATTTTGTAACGTAACATAGCGTAACATTCTGTTATTTTGTACTGAATAATATTGTGTATTCGTGGTGCTGTCGTCCCGGCTTTTATTTTGTGTAAGGACATTGCTTCACTTAATGGCTGCTGTGACTACAGCACCACAGCGCCTTGAATCAATGTATTAGGCACGTTGTAAATGTGATCTATTGTTATTATTATTATAAAGAGGTTAACATTCATGGAAATATATTTGGTTATATTATACATCAATGGCTGCTATAAATACACCTTTTAGCATGTTGTTGCTATCAAACATAAATGTCACATCCATAATATCTGCATTTTTCAAGTACATGTCAAAACACTTGCCAAGCATCAATCAGTCAATTAATGAAAGCATTGTTTATCAATTTTTGGTCCTGATAAATTTAAATTGCTATAAACATATTTATTGCTGATTAAGCCTGAGCTTCTATAAATACTGAAATTTTAGACAGTTTTTACCCCAAACCTGTTTTAGGTAGTACATATTCTGGCTTAGAACATATTTTACAAAGGTGATTATTGAAATACTTCAATGTACCCTGTAGTCACGGAACGATGAGCATTATTTGAGGACTACAGCATACTGTAAGATTCATCTCTGTCAATAAGTTTTGATTTTGTCTTTTGTTTATCCCTTCCATATGTTTTGATGTTGTCTTTGTATTTTTTATTTCACAGATCCTAAAAACGATAGACAAGCCCAGGTTGGAGCGGTTAGAGAGACCAGAAGCCTGTCCGCTGAAGATCTATGAGCTTATGTTAAGGTGCTGGACTCACGAGCCAGAAAGCAGAATGTCATTCGCTGAACTCCACGAGGAACTGCCAAAAGTAAGGAGTTGTACAAGAAAGGGGCGATTTAAACACACTTTTGAAAATAGTTATCTTCTTTGCCATTGTAGAGGGTCAGACACAACATGGTACATGTACATATTAGCGGTAATCAGAACTGCAATGGGCATCAAGATACATGTATCCACAGTTAAATCGTGCCTCCTAACTCACCTACATATGTATGAATAGATTGTCATGTACATACTGAGTTCAAGATTCAAGATTCAAGATAATTTATTGTCATGTAAAAAAATACATAAAGAGAGTTCATTGAGAGAGACTGCAGCTTTTAATTTTTTTGTTTTAATCATAGAATTTTTCATCTCTGGTGAATCATCATCATCATCGTGGTCACCGTCATAATCGTCATCATGATAATCATCATCATAATCATCATAATAATCATCATTGTAATCATTATCATAAAAATTATCATTGTAATCATTATCATCATCGCCACTGTCATTGTTCCTGTCATCATCATCATCATCACCATCATTAATTCATCATTATTATCATCATTTCTTCATCTTCCTCATCATATTATATCCACCATTAAAAATAAGCACACATGAAGTCACAAGGTTTTCCATTTCCCTGCTCGACATCTACCACACTGTTTTGATATCCCGGTTATTTTAAATGTTAACATATTGTTTATTTATAACTTGCTTTATTTCTGCAGGCAAGACCAATGCAAGTGAAAACCCTTGTCAACTACGTAGCATTACATCCTGAAGAGCTGACCTTCAGAGCAGAGGACATCCTCTCGGTAGTCGAAGCAAAGTAAGTCATGTCGGGTTTTAAAAAAAGATTTAAATTCAATTGTCCTTTCTGTATATTGCGAATTATCCACCTTACTTGCAGATTTACATCCAGGTGATCCTAAGCTACAGAGGAGAAGACATCCTTTCAGTATTAAATCAAAGTCATGTCAGGGGGATTTACTAATATTTGTTTCTGTTCTTACTGTATATTGAAAATATTATTATTAAAAAAAAAAAAATTAATTGCTTTTGTGAACCCATCTTCTACTCCCAAGTGATCTACATGTCGAGTAGAAAGTTACCTTGTTGATAAAAAATAATGCAATACACCAGTTTACGGTTACATCAATGCGCATGCGCAGACATGGGCGCCATTTTAATTGACTTTGAAACAAAGCCAATGACCTGAGGTGAGTGGTATTTATGCGTAAATTAAGATTGCGCCCATGCAAATGATTATGTGCGCGCACAACGCAGCGCAGGCAGTGATGTCAACATGATTTGCGTAGGCGCAATCTTAATTTACGCATAAACGACTGACCTCTAGGTCATTGGCTTTGTTTACTCACCAATTAAAATGGCGCCCCTAACCGTAAACTGGTGTATTGTATTTTGCTGCTACAATAGCTGTCATTAATATTTTTATAGTTGCAATAAATCAGTTTCACAATCACATGAATTATACTTGATTTATGGAACTAAATATACAGAAGTCTGGAAAAAATACTCAATTGAAAAAGGTTAATTTGTTAAGGTTTTACCAATGAAAGAGATTAGTCACATATTTTTAGAATGTCCTCATCCATGTAAACATCCTCCCGATACAGTACCATTTTACTCATCCTGTTATATATATCTTTCTAGAAACGTATCATATCCTTTCTTGTTTGCAGCCGCCCATCCGGGTAGCAAACTCCTACCTTTAGAGGAAGTATTATCTGTTAGCCAGGTATCCTGGTTGTCCTTAAATTACATCCATATTTGAAAAATTATTCTACATGTAGGGCATTGCTTAAAAATTGTTAATTAAATTTCTTAAACAAATCAACTTCTAGAGATTTATCTGGAACCATATAAACTTAAGTGTAAGTTTTAAAGTAAATCCTGCATAATGCATATATGATCAGACTGTTTTTTCTTCTTCATGCAGAGCCTAAACTGACAAATTACAGGAAAAAAACAAATTATACTAATTGGTGAATAGCCATGATAATACAACTTTGTTTTGTTATTGCTTAATGTAGACCAATGCTGTGATCTTTAAGCTGGCTATATTCTTCACTTAATACATGCAGCTCATTTATGTGTAACTTTGAATTAATTCAAATATTTAATCTTGTTTGATTACCGTTGATTGTAAGCTAGTTATTTCCTTTTCTTCACCATTTCACATTTATGTAAACCAGCCTGGGATTTAGAAACACCAATACAACCTTGTAGTGTTATTGTGAATAACACAATAATGCTTTAATCTTTAAACTTGTTGTTTTCTTCAAAGCATCATATCCTTCTTGTGATATCACATCTATGTAACGCTTGGTAAATTTTCTTTTAAAGATATCATTGCCGTACCACATCCTGTTTTTATTATGTATTTCTTTTTTAAATATCAAGCTTTGGTCGTCTTGTATTTCCACTCCTTTGAGTGGTAGGAGGGTTAGGAAGTCTTATCTTCCATGAGAAAGGAAATAGATTAGGGAAAAAAGTGCATTCTGCCAAAAAAGCAAAAAGCAGTATGGACGGAAGATATCGCTTCAGCTGCATCTAGAGTTGCATAGTGATCAAGTATTGTAGTAGGTGATAGATCCATCTAGAAGTACAAATTAGAGTCATTCCAGGGTGTAGATATCAGGTTCAGTTGCCATATTACAGTGTCAAGTTTCATTCTCAAAAAACACTCTTAACTGGCTCAAAATTACTGCGATGAGATAAAAAAACGACTTGTTCGCTTCTTGTTTTGGTACCTTGTATAACACAGAGAGAAGCAAGAAAGTTGAGGGGCCATTTCGCATATCACCTCCAATTCTTGTCCATTGTCACGTAAAAAAGTTTCATGTTGCCGCGATTGTTTGGTTGTTGATGAGGCGCTTACAACGTTGTGTGTGAACAAGACTTGAGGAGTGGAGTCTTTCAAGGTTTGTAACATGAACAGATCTCCTACTGATATCCAATCCAGGACATAGGAACTAGATTAAGGCTTGCATTGCTGGTCCAAGCTTGCATGTAAGTTAGCTGCCAGGTTAGGGTGGGATCTTAAAAGCTCCACATGCAGCCACCCGTCCATCCGTCCGTCTGTCTCTCTGTCAAACTGTTCTGGTAATCTCCAAGAGATTTTAGTGGGTGGGGAGACTTTACGTGATCTGATCTAGTTCGGGGAAGAAAATCAAAAAGAATTGAGCTGATTGCCTGGAATGGTTTTGTTGAGGATTTTCAAGCTTTGGTGCAAGACTGATTTCAAGAAGCGTTAACGAAGGCAGCTGTTTCTGTAGTCTCTGGGCGAGAGTGATAAGATTGTTGCTGTGTCTTCAAAAGACTGTAAGTACTTGTATTAAAGTGGGAGTTGTCTCTTTGATCAATCTACATGTATCTAGCTAGAGTAAACTTTAGAAGTCACTGCAGAGGTGTGCTGCTTCATATAGCTTTAGCTAAATTGCTACAAACTTTTGAGAAAGGTTGGTTACCTTTTTTTCCCCGGGAATAATCTGTGTCTTGTTAGCAGAGCCTGAATTATGATTGAGGTTTTGCACTGATCACAGGTTGTGCAGAGTGTCTGGAAGCAATTAGTTGGATTGTTCAACAACACCACGTGAGAGACCAAAGTCAAACTCATTACAAAAAAAAATCACCAACCAGTACACACCAAGGCTGAAGACTGATTTTGGAAGTTTATGTGGTTTTTGTTAAAGGTACTTAATGAATCACATGCTGTATCGGTCTCTTTATAGGTTTCTATTTGTTTTGAAATGATGCCTTGATTGGATAGGTCAGCTTTAGGATGTAATTTTGTTACGGATCGATGTAACAGCCTACTAGCCCTGGTCATTGTACTTAAATGACTACTTCCTCCAATTGTAGTTTGACCGCCTTCCAGTTACTTTGGTCAGCGGAATGAAGCTGTGCTTCAGTTGTATAGTTGCTGTCATATTGGCATTTTTACGGTAGTCGAGTGTTGCTCTCAGACCATCACACGTCCTCTTAAAGACATTGTCCTTCTGGAGACATTGAGGACTGTGTCTTCTTGAGTCAATTGTCTCTTAGAAGAAGTTGGGATTATCTTGAGTGTCCTGTTGATTCGGTGATTGTTCATTACCAGAGCATGAAGCAGTGCATATAAATAGTCCATTGTCACTTTATAAGATTGGATACTTTGAAAGTCGCAGGGAAGCGTCAACTAGTCAGTTCTAAAGCAAGAAATAGTGCACTAAGTTTATGTGTATGATACTATGACCGCTTACGTTTGAGGATGTTTCCTTGATAAAACAAAAGTGATCTAATCTAATGATTGAATGGACAACACTGAAACTTGATTCTATCCGAAGTTCATGGTTTATAGCAAGGATCTTGGCTTTATCCGAGAGTATCGCAGCCTTCTATTTGGGCGAATCCTGCCATCGAACACAAGGGCATCAAACTGGGTTGTGAAATTAGTGTTTTATCAACAGGCCTTCTGTTTTGACTTCGTCTGTGATCGGAGCACTTGCATCGATTCAGCTATTCTTGGAGAGAAAGGAGTGACACGATTATTTAACTTGATTATTAACCTGGATTATTCACGATGTACGAGATCAATGCAAATAGGTAAGGAAGAAAACCTCATGTCATCAACCATTTTGTTCTTTCGTGATTAAGCAGATTACACACAGGAGTAAGTTGAAGACAGGTCATTAAATTTCTCATCCTTTTCTTTCACCATGCATCAACTTCTTGAGACAGACTTTGAATCGTAGATCTGTAGAGAGTTTTAAGGCGTGTACAATGTTGATAGCAGGGTGGAGGACTAGCTCTGTAGCATTATTGAGATTGTACACTAACTGACCTCAAGTGCATAATCCATCGACTTTTGAAGATTACTTGTAGATTCGGTCACACAAAGCTTCAAGGTTACTTTCTCATAGCTTGTTCATGTGACAGAGGAAACGAACGTCATTGTTTTATTGTGCTGGTCTGAGGCTGTATACTCTACTGTTAGAACTTGGATTTATATTTTGAAATTGTACAGATATTACTTTGATGCCATATGTTTTCTTTGTGGTGAGTAGTCTTAAATATAATGTTTTGTGGACTTGGAAGTACAGCAAAAGAAGTTACTACTTTGTTTATAAGGTGTCACTTGAATCTGCTATTAGAAGGGCAATCCCACAGTTGGGTACACATTTTTTTTTTACAAGTGCTGTATAGAATTTTTCTTTTTCGTTTTTTGTTTGTTATATTCTTCTTCTTTTTTGGTGTGAGACTAAATTAATTGTGTCTGAATTGTTAATGGTTGATGTTTAATTCAAGTGGCATGCTGAGAATACAGGTTTATGCTTGTAGACAGGTAACCAGTGGATGTACAACTTGAAGTCTTATCTGAACAACTTGGTTAATGTAGAAGATTAATCCCTTATAAAGGCCACTGGTGTTGCTGCTTGCTTTTGAACCCTAGACCTTCCACTTACAAGACCACAAGACCATTGTTCCACCACTGAGCCATCATGCCTTCCATAAAGCGGAATATTTTCCATCGGATGTGAGGATGTTATGAAGGAAGGAAGTTAGGAAGGAGAAAGTGGTTTTTAAAACCATCGGATACCAGGCCACTGTTTATAACAGGATGAAAGGAATCAATATATCATGTAATCAGAGCCAGAAGGTCTGAAGTGATATGATAATGATAATAATAATCTGGATTTAAATAGCACTTACTGGTATTACAGAATACTGCTCAAAGCGCTGTACAGACATTATTACCCTGGTCATCGGATTCATTGATGCACAATGTGCACCATCTCCACTCCCTGAGGAGTATTCCTATCATATGGTCACTGTGAGAGCATAGGCGATTACTATTACTAACACAAATGCTTTCGCCATCCTACCAGGTCCCCATTTCTCTCTTGGGTATTGAGTGGAAAATGTAGATGAATGCCTTGCAAAAGGACATTAGTACCATGTCTGGAATCGAACCCATGACCTTTGAATTTCAAGTCAAGTGCTTCAAACACTCGACTACGACACTTCTGTTTATCTTTTTGAAGACTTAACGTCCTTCTGCCTGTCAACGGTTGTGTGGTATAACTATTGTCATCTAGTCAGCCGTGAATAACATTCATGTGAGGACGGAACTTGCTACATCCGAAACCACAGCACAGCCGCTTGCCTTCCATGTTCTGCAAGACGTTGACTCACACTGCCAATTTTACCCCAAGACGTGATGGTGTCACGGTGCAAAGATATCTTGAGTTGATGTTGCTCTTGAGTTTGGTAATGACTGAATGGTGTTATATTTGGACTGCACTTGACTGGAAGGGTAGTGGTTATTGAGTGGTGCCATTCTTAGATTTTTCACACACCTGTCTGTCTCGCCTGTCTGTCTGTCTCACCTGTCTGTCTGTCTCAACTGTTTTGCGTGTCTCTGGCCTGCCTGACTTGGACTTCAATAGAGTATATGTTTTTTTTTTTTTTTTTACTACGTTTTGAAGCAGAACTAGAACCAGGCTTGAAGACTGTACATGTATGTATGAAAGATGGATGGAGTACTTTTCTCTCAATTCTCTCATTTGTGTGATTCATTGTGATGCAATGTACAAGGTCACATCAAGTAACGATTTCTAACTATTAAGTATTCACAAGGCTTAACATTTGCATCTGCCACAGGTGGTGGAGGCTAAATTTGTTAATTTACTTTTATTTTGCCCTTATAAATGTGTTTCCCATGAAATATTGAATTTAATGAGTTTCCCGCATACTGAGAATTAAAAAAGAAATTATTGCCTTTTATATCATATTCATTTGTTGCATATAATTATAAAAATGTAACTGTCATTTGAATGCAGTTTCCTGTTGAAATATATTAAAAATTATTTTTCTCCTTGTTTTAATTTTTTTTAGTGACGACACTGGTGTGTGGAAGGGCATAAACCCGATGGGAAAGATCGGTTACTTCCAACGCGTGGATACGGTTGCCCTCGGCAACAGTCAGATGGGAAAATTGAAGAGGTGGAGAAGCGGGAGGTCATCCAAAACAGAAAACAGAAGAAGGTAAGAACATTTTCTACAAATTTGATTGAAATGATATCACTTTCTATTTTCAGGGAGCTGATTATGTAAAGAGTAAATCTCTTTCCTACATACCCTCTTTATATTGTGAAATATTGCATGTAAGGTACTGATTGGTATTGTGTGTGTTTAATTGTGAACAAATCAATGAAATATAATAATATTGGCTTGATATGACTGCACAGTTTATATGGGTGTTTCTGTGGCATGATCTTTCAAGCTATTTGGAGTTTTGGGTTATGACATTCTAGACACGTTACATTTATTGGAATTCTAGTGAGTTATTTGATATCACGATATAATGACTTAATTCATTCAGTATTATTACATGCCATTCATATTTACTTCAGAGACAGAATTATCTGTATTGGGTCATTCAGTATACTCCAGCTTAGCTTGTATACAAGTTTATTTTGCTGTTTTATCATAATGATTCATACCATATTACAACTTTCATTTTATGATTTTGATTACATGGATATATACTCTCATTTTATTTTATCGTTTAAAGATCAAAAGACGAAGACAAATTATTTAGAGCCCAAAACGTCCACTAGAAATTCAATTGTTCAATAAATAAGGGAAATAGACTTTTTAATGCTAACTAATAGTAGCTTTAATTAAAGCATTCTAAAATAATGAACCTAATCCAAACATAAACATGAAGTGCATAGAAGAAGAACAAATTAAAGTATATGATATTTGGCTGTATAAAACTAACAGCTGAGTTTTAGTCATAATTAACAGCCTTGGTGCTTATGTAAGCATTTGCAGTATTTTCTCAAATTTGTTACAAAATATAACGCAGATTAGTCATCTGTTTTCAAGCTATTATCCTGATGACCTCATCAGAATCACTCGGGCCAAAACAAAACAAAATGAAAAATGAAATAATATTTTCTGATTGATATTGATTTAGTTGTGGATTAACAAATAAAGCAATTACGTTATGATTTAGGATGTGGTTTTTCAGGGATCTAGGATTGTTTTCCTTGTTTTGAATTGATGTTCAAGGCACACGAAAGTTCATGCATGGGCAATGTGTATAACAGTGTGGGATGTCGTTGCACTGTACGTGTGTTCACGCATGGTTACACAAACTAGTGTGTCAATGCCCCCACATGAGAGTGACACAGAGTAGTTATTTCAATTTTTATCGGAAGATGAGGAAATTCACATATTTCTTGCATAAGTGCCAACATATTTCCCCTCTAATCAAAGGACAGCTTTTGAGATCAATCCGGGAAAATGGATATTATGTCACTGTTCTTCACTGTGTGCAGAATATGCACAGTAGATTGTTTCAACTTAATTATTTTGGGATTTCTTTGGTATTTGATTATTCAATTGCTCAATTTTGAAGGAAACAAAATTCTTGGGAATTAAAGGGGCCTTTAGGATTTAGAAAGCATGTTTTGATTTGCCATATTATATAATTTATTCATAAACCATTTTGCAGCATATTGTATGCATCACAACGACCAAAACGACAGAGGTAAGACATCAGATAAACTGCATAGTTCAGCACTTTTTTTTAATGTCATGCTTAACTTCCATTTATTCAATTCCTTTCAAAATCATTAAAACAAAAATTCAATTTTATTAATCATATTTCAGAGTGGGACCATTTTTTATTACTAGCTGCATGGGGCTACGTTCTTCTCTGCTTTCTCTTCAAAAGCACATCACTTTCACAAAAGGATTTCACATGAAATCATGCAAAATCACTACATTTCACTTTGATGCCATCACTCTGGGGGCTTCTTTTGAAAATGTATCACTTTTTCAAAATTTGACCTTGCGTACCAGTACATGTATCTACAGTATTTTCTAATAGTTTTAGTGTTTCTTTGCATGTTTTATTTGTTGTTTGTTTTCAGCATCTTGTGCATCTCTTTCCAGCACAGTCTTGCACGCTCTTATTTTGCATTTTGCATTTTGCACTGTGTTTTGATTATTTAAAGGCAAAGTAAAGCATTCTCAAATGTCAGGAAATAAAAAATGAGATGATGATATTTGGTCACATACAATCTTTAAAAATGTACTTGCAGTACATGTAAACACAGAAGAGCATTAACACATACCTCAAACAGAGTTAATACCCTTCTGGCTCCAAACAGACGGAAAACTAGATTCTTGGAAAGACAAAATTGACATGACCGAAACTATACTTTGCCTTTCATATTTATTACATTATTTGAAGGGATTCTAATCTTGTTACATGAAGTCACTTCAGCTGATTCAGTTATCCAAAGCGAGTGAAGTGTTTGTGCGTGAGTTGCTGTGATGGTTTTGCTATTGAAGTGGGCTTAAGCAAGCTATACGAGACGGGCCTAATATGAGAATCGCTTCTTCTTTCCTCATCGTACCCCTTCCATAGAGCCTGAGAGTGTTGCTAATTCTGCATTCATGCTTTTTCTGGTCACAAATTTCTTTCTTTTCTTCAATGTGTGAACACGATCGTGCAAATCTTTCCATAATTCATGCACTTGTGCAAATTGTATCTATGGATTCATATTACAATTGCAGCTCAATCAATATTTATTCATTTATTTTTAGTTAATTCTGTCTCTCTTTTATTAAAAACGTAACCCTTTGCTCTTTTACTAGGTTTCTTAACATTTATTTTCCTTTCATTTCCTGATTTTTTGTAATGGAACAATACATAAATTAAGTATTTGTATTAACTCTGAAAAAGAAAACCCCTTCATCTCTGCACTGCACTGCACTGCACTGCACTGCACTGCAACACAATTTTACCAGAGCACCTGTGATTTGATTATATAATTATTCTTTGTCTTTTACCTTGTGAGAAATCATATGTTCTTTCGGAACTGTTTTGTTATTTCAACTACAAAACAGAAGCTACCTGGAGGGAATATGTAAAACTTCTTTGGTATAAATTTTATAAATCTTGAAGGTGTTGAAGATAAAAGCAATAAGAGAAAAAATCCATGTCATGATTAAATCTAAAAATTATTAGGATTCTCATTCAATGAATAGGTCTTTTTTCACTATTGACTTGAGCTGATAAGCTACCGTATACTACTTGGCATAAATCTTGCCTTAGATATTTTAAAGCATGTAAAAGCTAATGTATGAATTTAACATCCCTCCTGAATGCACCCTTGATGGGGTGCAGGATGTACCCGTCTGATACCCCCATGTAGGGTATAATCTGGTAGAGAGGGGTGTGAAGTTGGGTGTGGAGGTGGAAGGGGGGGGGGGGACGGGTTGAATACCGGTACCACTATGCCACATGTCTGCTGGAGAGGGGTGTGTGGCGGGTGGGGAGGGGGGGGGGGAATACTGTGATCATATCATATAATATCTGCTGGAGGGGCGGTAAAAAGGCGTGGGGGGTTTAGTGTAATATAGGGGTTAAGTTAAGGGAAGAAAAAGGAATTGGTGTTGGACAGAATAGAGGGGTAGGGGCAAAATCTTAAGAGAAACATATATTTGTTAATTACATAACTACATCAATTTCAAGGGAATGAAATGCTAAGAACAGTTCACAGGTTTAAGTCACTTGCCTTTCTATAAGATACTTTTATGTCAATCGCCCTTCTGACCCTTTTCAGGGTAGGAACAAGTACTGGATTACTTTCTTTAGACATCAGTAGGAAGCACCTTCTTTGCTACTTTTTTATGAGAGAATGTCCTCAATTTCACCCTTTATGGGGCCTTTCAATGGAACATCAACGAACTTGAGCTTTTGAGTTCCGACAGTTTTTCGTGAAACGCTGCCTGAACACTTGTATGACCATACTCATGCATGTACATCACATGGATAGGGCTTGATTCTCTGTGTTCTATGTTTTCAACGTATCACCTGTTAATTAGAACCAGTAGCTGAGGACTGTTGATGAGATAGATGATGGTCATACCATCTGCTAGTGTTTTTCCTCAGTGTATCCTCTTGATGAATCACACAAAGAAGTCAACTGAGACATACACAAGTCTCCTTTCTTATACTAGCATTGCCATGCATGCTGATGTGCATTGCATTGGTGTATTTCATGTATTTAATTTTTTGTTTTGGTGGCTCTCTCAGTATTCAAAATGTTTTCTGATGAAAGGTCCTGTACAAATTAAAGATTGCAAATACAAAAGGAATTGAAACAACAATTTTAAATATGAGAACAAATCATTGCAAAGATTTCTTTTTAAAAACATGATGTAAACATGTAAAGAGATATCCGTGCAGTCTATACAATGTCATACCTTTCAAAGTCTATTAGCAAAGAAAGCGAATTATATGGCAATGAATGGGAATATTTGTTCTAGATTTTCGGGGCTTTTGGGGGTAAAATTTTGTGAGATTATAATAAGGAAAAGCGGACAACAAATAGTTTTGCAAGTCATCCTTTTCTTATAGATTTCTGTAAAAACCAAGACAAGTGAATAATGTTGATTGCGGAAGTGCAGTCTGACAGAAGGAATAAATGGAAATGATTCATTAGAGGTTTTCCTTTCCTATCAGTCAGCATTAAAGGTAAAACAGAGTAAGAGTTTGAAATGAATACATGGAGTTCATTTTGTGGGATATAATACAATAAAAACTTGTCTTGATACAAACATTTATCCACCCTTGATTTAAAATGTTGAATTGTTGTATTGTCTGCTTGTTTTTTTTAATGTTTTTTTTAAAATTTCTTCCTCTCTTTCTTAGCATGATCCACACATTAAAGCGTTGTCAAAGAAAATTGTGCATGAATACATTTGCATGGGCATGCTTCAGACTTGCATCAAAGTTTTGTGCATTATGTATTTTTTTTTTGAACGATCAGCTTGATTAAGAAAGGGGTCACAACTGTCCTGTAGCTGTAAAGTTTAAACAGATTAAAACTTTTTTCGCAAACCAGTGTAGCAAAATATCTTAGTAAAGCATGTTTGAACATATACATGCATACATGTATGCACATTGTACACAACAATGTGACCTACAGATAGTCAGGGCTTAACTGGGCTTTTTAATAAAACGAGATAGCGTTTGAGAGATGCGTTCTCCGTCCTAATTTGTCCTTAGAAACTGTACAAATTATCTGTTTAGAGCCAGAAGGTCATTAACCCTGTATGAATTATCTGAGTGAATATCAGTTTGGCTCTCAGTAGATGATATACATGTACATGTATGTACATGTATATTCTAGAGTAATTTTGATAGGATTAATTTGGTTTTGCATGAGTGCATGCTCATAAAGTAGAGATTCTGCATGTCAAAATGAAATTCAAGATTTTATTCCGATGTTCAAGCTCACCCCTTCCTTAATCAGCTGATCTTTTTATATTTAGTACTCCATTGCTTATAAGATTCACTCATTGGTGTTTTCTTCCATCTTCCCTTTCTTTATCCATATATCTCCTATATTTCTTCTGTCTATTCTAAAAACTCAACATTTCTCTGTTCATTCTCAAATTCCATCATATTTTCATGGATTTATTTTCATCTTTTGTTCCTGTCTCTTTCTTCTTTGGGTTATATTTTTATCATCCTTTTTCAATCTTTTTCTTTCATACATCATTTTGATCTGTATTCACTTTCTCCTCTCTCAATCTCTGTCTTCCTATCTTCTCCCTCTGTCTCCCAATTATCTTCCGTCATGTTTTCTGACGGGGGATGTTTATATATCTCACGCTTGGCCACCCCGGTGTTGCGATCCGCACTCTCCTATTATTGCTTGGTGGCGTCTGTGTGGGGGCTTGGTAATACGTTCGTTCGTTTATCTCGTGTTCCTCCGGCCGGGACACACACACATCCTCATCCACTACCACCACCATCATCCATACCTCAACTGCTTCTCATTATATTGGTATCTGTTCGTGTGTGACGCTTGCCACTGACTATATCTTGCTACCCATCTTACCTGCGTACGTAGCTGGCATGGCCATGGGTATGTATTAGATTGGTGTATATACATGTAGTCCCATTGGCTTTTTCCATCCATGTTCACTTTGGTTTGCATTTTATTTTCTGGTGTTCCTTTCTTGATCATCTCTTATTCCTTCTGTTATTTGAGTTATCTGTCCCTATTTCAGTTTTGTTGTTTTGCTTTGGTTTTATTCCTGCTTGCTCTTTACTTATACTTTTGGTTTTGACAACTTTAAATTTTGGAGCTTTATGTGTGCTTTGTTCTAAGTTCTTTGACTTCTTTTTATTTTGTTGTTTCTTTTCCTTTTGTTGAATTGCTTCATCAAATGATGTGTACTATACTTCATTCCTAATGTCTGTTTGGTATTGAATAACTGTTTTTCTTGTGTTTGTAAGTTTGTAACCTGTCTTATTACATAATTTTTTTCCCTCTTTCATACAATGTCTGTTTTTATTCGTTTTCTTCAACTCTCTTTGTAATGTTTATTAGATTCTTATTGCTATAAATTCATTGTGCAGTACATAAAATTATTGCAAGCTATTCTATAATCATGAATATTCATAATCATTGAAATATCAGTGGTATTTACTACCATGATTATTATGATTGTATATTATGTATGATGTATTTAAATTGTTTTGTATTAATTTAGCTGTGTGTTTATCTTGTAACCAGAGTGTACGTATGTGCACCTAATATTATACACCAGCGCAGAAATGTTTTTTCTATGAATAATATCACTTGAAGTTTCTTTTCAGTAAATGGTGATTATATGGGAGCACTAACAAAGCTGAAAAAATTATTATCAATTGCTTTATCACTGTAACAAATCTTATTTTATACTCATATTTGAGGGAACAATGATATGCAGAGTGATTTGCATAGACCATTGAACTTCATATATTTTTCCAGATGTTCCATCTTTCCTTTCTTCCTGGCACTTGTGCTTTAATATCTCATTAGGTTTCACTGTACCGGTATGTGTTTCTCTGACTTCCTATCTCTCTCTCTCTCTCTCTCTCTCTCCCTCTCCTCTCTCTCCTCTCCTCTCTCTCTCTCTCTATCTCTCTCTCTCCCTCTCCTCTCCTCTCTCTCCCTCTCTCCTCTCCTCTCTCTCTCTCTCTCTCTCTCTCTCTCCATCTTTGTGTATTTCTGTCACTCTCTCTCTCTCTCTCTCTCTCTCTCTCTTTTTCTGTTCTTCCGTTGTTATAAGGAGGAAACTTTGAGAATAATTGCAGAAATGGTGTTGATAGGAGCAGTTTATATTTAGAAAGTGATCTAGTACTGTACGTCAATGCCATGTTTCTAGACGATGAGTAAGACTTGTTAAAGACGTTTTCAGCAAAAGTCAAAGCTGGTATATCTTGAACAGTTGAACTAAGTATTTGCATTAGTATTGATAGGTACTTGGTAGAAGCATTAACACACCTCCCCCAGAAATAAAAACATTTGGGAAGGGATAAAATATTTGTATTTTTGTAGGTAATCCCCAAAGTAGACAATTTTCAATTGAGTTAAATTGATCTGCAAAGAGAGATAATGGACTTATTATAGTGGACACTTTAAATAAGGATATAAATCTCCCTATGAAAACATATACATTTATTTCTGGAAACAAGAGTATATTTTAAAATTATTTATTTATATAATTTTTTGCCCGAACAGGCTTCCAACTGGTGTAAAATACATTATATATATTTAAAAAAAGGTTACATTAATTTGATTTTCCATCTAAAGGGTATATGATTTGCCTTTGAACTTACCAAATGGTTTGTGATTTAGAAAAAAAATAATAGAGGTGAGTGTGTGTTTGTGGGGGGGGGGGGTGCCTGGACAGGTGTGTACGTCCTGTATGTATTTCAGCTGTAGTGGGATTATGTTGCATAACATTCGCCAAAATCATGGTGATAGCCAAAGTTACAAGCAGTCAGCCAGCTGTTATCACCACACATCTAACGAGTTAATGACAGAGATTGCAATCATTTCGCTATCAAGAGCCAATTTTCATTATAGCTACCGGTATGTTTACATGGGACCGTGGTAGTTTTAAACTTTAAATTTGCGAAACATCAAAGTTTTAAACAGTGATCCATCATTACATCGATGAGGGTCTACATGGGTCCAAAAAGCAAGTAATGTACGCCCTATTCAAAGTTGTAAACTAAGTACCGTAGTCATTGTAACTCGAAGCTGGTGAAAGCTCAAAGTTGATTGCATCCACATGGCACATTACTTCAAGTGAAAACACCCTCTTCCCGTAGTTATTGCACTAACCATAATATGGCTCATGGGTTTAAAAATAAAAAATTATAACCGAAAAAACTAATAGTTTCTTGACTGTTCAATGATGCATCCGCACTGTCCCCAACTATGAGATAAACTTAGTTAAAAACCACAACCTAAACTTATGGACTCTCGTGTAAACCAGAATGTTGTATAGTGGAGACAACATGAAACTTAAAACAATACAAAGATTAGCCTCACTATTGCATACATGTGACCTCATTCTTAAATATCATTTTTGCCACAAACTAGGCATTTATTGTCATTATTAGAAGATTTTGTCACCTTCATTGTTCACTGAACAAAATTAGATTCCTATTTGTGATTGAATAAATATAGATACATATATACTGTTGATATTTGCCAACTTTCTTGATTTGAAATGGATTACCTTATTGTTATATTCTAATTCCTCAATTAGCAGAACTTGAAATTCAGTGTTTCAATTATTTGAAATGGAAGGAGAGAAAAAAAAGGTAGAAAGCATTTACGAAAACAATGCCATTGTAGTAGGTGTGTATTCAACAGTATGAAATCCCTTCATCTATCCCAATTTCCTATTTAATTCCTGCATTGTTGGCTGCACAATGCCATTGTGTATTGTTGTAGTATTCTGGAAATCATGACTTTTGAAAGAGATATAGGTGAGGTCTAAATGGGTTGGAATGTCCTTCCCTTATTTTTCTAGATCATACTGTATTTTTGACGTCTTCCCTATTTGCTTCACCCGATGACGTTTTTTAAACTATTATGAAGGAATATGAATGAAGAGAGAGAAACCAATGATGAATAGGAAATTAGAAAGAAAACAATAGAAATGGAAGCAAAAGTTCAAACTATTATTTAAATTCCGGAGAGAGATGAAAGTGCATTTTAAAGAAGAAGAAAAAATGGCCTAAAGCAATTCTGAATTCGTGATTTTTATGCAGCAGATTGTTGTTTTGGATAACCAAAATTCAATCAAACTCGACAAACTGTGTGAAAAATGAAAATTTACTGTGAACCATATTCACTGGAACCAGGTTCATCTACATACATGTACAATCCGACCTAGGCTTGTGCTGGTTGAATTGACACCAGAACTACTCTTTTCACCTCAATGTCACAGCATTCTATGAAGAATATTCTAATAATTGGAAAGTAATACTAAAACTTTCATTATCAAAAACATTTCCAAATTTTAGGAGCATATAAAGTTGTATAATAATTACTGACATATTTTGATCAAGTGTTTACACTCCTAGTAGTTACCTAACCTACATATGTAAGGATTATCCTGTCTGTCTTAACAGTTTTATCTTTCCTCTTGTAATTTAATCCAATCCCCTTCCTCTTCCTCGGGTCAAATGACGATCGTTGCCAAAAGCAGGAGTTCTGCAAATCCATTCCTTTCCCCCTCCCAAGTTCATATCTTCCCCTCGCATTTGAAGGAGCTAGGCCAAGTTTGGGGAAGAATGTAGTCTGCTGTTTCAGGCATTTTTTGATTCCCATTGCAGACTTTAATTCTGAGTAGAATAGAAGGTGCCTTATTATATGTATAAATATTGCAAAATAGTTTGAGCCAGAAAGGCCTTAACTCACATGCTTTATCAAAAGTTAACGCCCTTCAAACTTCCAACAGGCGATATATATAATAAATGATAATATTAATACATTACATTTATAATGCGCTTAATACAATGTTTCTAAGCACAAGAGAAAGAAGAAAGGAAAAGGAAGAAAAGTGAGAAATACTAAAGAAAAATGTTAAAAATATTGAATTGCAAGTAAATGGCAAAGAAGAATATGACATAACACAAAATAAGGACTGCTAAGGACTGCATCAAAATTCAAAATTGATTGAAATTATAAATAAACCAGATATGGACTCAAAATTATAATAAACCGTGTGAAATATTCAAATACATCTTAAATACAAATTACAAATTATTATATTCAATATAATAATTTGTCGCTGTTTTCATGAAGTGACGGTAGTGAAAAAAAATTGCATTCACTTTGCGTTACGATTTTCCTCACTACCGTCACTTCGTGAAAACAAGGACGAATTATATAACATCTCACCCGCATAGTGAGAGTGAGACATGAGTGTCACTTTTCTGAGAGTGGTGAGGACATCAACATTTCTTGATAAGTTTTTAGGTTCAAATGTCACAAGACTAGATTGGTAAACCAATCAAAAGGAAGATCGCGAATCCCTGTACTGTCGAGGAAGGGGATGGGGAGGGGGGAAAGGATATCATAGTCATTCTGAACAGGATGGAGGTGGGCCCCCGGTATAGACCCCCTCAAAATTAAAAGGGGCCTCCTTTCCATATCTACCCCTCCATTCCTCCAAATACATTTTTTACATTTTTTTTTAGAAGTTTGCTAAGTGAGACTAATTGCCCCCCTCCCCTTCCCATCCCCCTCTTACTGTGACCGATACTATGCTGTGAAGTAACTTCTTCACGGTTGAGGCTTCTTGTGATTTACATCTGTTTTTAATCGTGATGAATCACGAGCCGCCAGGAACTCGGTGGCCCTGTTGCAGTCGTTCCTTGGGGTTTACAATTTGTTTCTCATTTTCCACCTCTACACCAAACCAAGCAACTCCAGGGTTGACGCAGACAGGCGGATCAGAGAGGGATCGGAAAGACAGCAGCCGGCAAGATTTCACGGTGACTTCTCTTTCTTACGATCAACCAGCTACTCTCATCCGACCTCTCCTTGAGTTGAGATTGATCTCAGAGATGGACTGTCGGTCTTGCGGACATTTATAGCTCTTCTCTTGGCATCTCTCGTAATTTAATACATGTCTTTTGAGCTTCAGCCACAAATTTTACCTAAGTTATTTTGCGTCGAACAATTTTCTTGGCAGCCTCTCCATCGCTGCATGCACAGGGGTTCACAGACTGAATTTTTGCACTTTCTCTTCCTTTCTCGACGACGATGACTTGTGTGGCTTGATAACCTGGTTGGATGTGTAATTCAATTGACTGCAAACAGTTTGAAGTGAATTCCATTTTAAGAACGTTTACAGATCAGAAAGCAGGTGTTTTCATCAGTGCTCGTGTTTCAAAATCTTACCGTTTTCTTTTTCATCTACATCTATTTTTGCAATAAATACTTTTTTCTGACAAGTTAAAGGTGGATTATTGGATTCTGTGCTCTTCATTTGCCATCTTTGAAGATTCCGCATAGATAGGATTTTTGTTTGGAATACTCATGATAGTTTAAAAGCAAATCGACTCCCGCATGGAAGTATCCTCAACCTACCTTTGAGAGTCATCAACGTGGTCGCAATTTCACTTCTTGTGAAGTCAAACTTGGATTGCAGTCGCCCTGAGCTTTTCAGAAATGTCTAAAATTGACACAGACTTTAATTGGTGGGTCGTTAGGACCTTGCGCAAAGGAAACCATATCAAGTTCATGCCTGTTGTGTCCAAGTTTGCCAGGTAGGTCTCCCGACAATTTTACAACCTTTTTGGAAAGTTTGATAAAAGGGCCTAATATCTTTCTTTTTTTAAGGAACAAGAGTTCTTATATTAAGACTGATCTTATAAAGACATGGCTATATCGTTGATAGTCATTTCATCTGAGAGTTTGTGTTCAGTTAAAATATGAAGAAAATTAAAATGGTTTATTATTATCTGTTTTGAATTGATTATACATATCATAATTTCTGCATATAGACATTTTAAATGGTTACTGTCATTTGTGAATTGAAGTATAATTCTGCTATGTAATTCAGAGGCCCTTTTTAGACAAAAGAATGAAGGTTCTTTAATAGTGTTTTCAGTGATTAAAAAAAAAGGGGGATTAAGTAATTTATCTCAATTTTGTAATTATATAAGAATCAAAGTTTGAAATATCTTCAAGAGAATTTGAAGAAATTTGCTTTTTCACGCAGTCTTAAAAGGATCTTAATACATCTGCTTGATGTTGATAGGATATTTTTGTATGTGTGCAACGGAAGGAAAATTAATATAATTGCTGATATCTAGAGTATGTAACAATCATGTGAACTATGTTTCTGTCGAAATATTGAATACCTCATGATGATTAACGTTTCCAATGCCACTCTAATGGGTATTAAGCAGTCAATTACTCATTACATATCACGGCAATCCAGATCCTGTGTTTAATTGGTCCGGCTCAGTGAGTTGTATAGTGCCGCCTGTCAATCAAATTAGTGCTCAGTCTACGTCAATGTGAAAGGTGGCAATGACTGGTAGTAATAATCATACACACCAGACTGGGTGTGTTCACATGAAGAAAGGTTGAGATGAATTTAACCTAGATTAAGATTAATGAGGTTATACTCATAGGGGAGGTATGATGTGGCTATTCAACTAAATTTTATTGCCATTTAACTGAATGACTAGACATTTGTTGGGCCACTCCTTTTAAGTGTTCTGTTGACACTTTACAAGTTGTAATAATAAAGAAATGTAGTAATGAGATATTTAGCTTCTAGATTTACGTTAAGTGCGATACACTATTTACGTACTGTGATGCAGTGCAGAAGCAACAATTAGTTTATAAGTAAATTTATTATTTGCAAAGATTTTCATTGATTAACAAAGTTTTGTGAATATATTACTTTGGTACTTATTACTTAATTACTTTGGAACCTGAAAGTGGAACAAATTTCATTTACACCCATAATTTGAAATCTGTGGTGCTCTGGTCATGCAGTGCTTTGGTATGATATGAAAAGCCAATCAATTTTGAAGGGCAAATTAAAAAAAAGAGAATATGGCAGTGTATTCTATTCAAAATATGGGGATGGATCATTACTGCATATACATTTGTACATGTGGATGATGTTATTTAAGGATAATATGAACTCAACTTCTCAAGGGCGCCGTATAAGATTGGGTTTAATGTGAACACTCCTCGCACCAGGGCTCTTTTTAATCAGGTGTCGCACACAAGCAGACCAACTCCCTGGGAGCTCAGCGGGCTCACCAATCTTACCCCTCCCTAGGAAGGACATCGCTCCATCACGGCTCTCCGCATAATAAAAAAAAAAAAAATCACAATTTCCTTCCCTTATCAACTTATCATAACCAGGCCCAGTGGAAGGTCAAATTTGTCGCTGATAATGTCGCTGTAAATTCGCCATGTCCTGATCGCAAGGCCAGATTGAGCCAAATGTTATTTGCCTGGGATTGCTTGGTATTATTTACTTGATGCTTGCGAGCCTGATTGGTACTGAAAAGCCTTCCATAGGGGGTTATGGGGAAGCTTGGAAATTGCTAGGAATTAGCACCTGTGGATATTACCAGAAACCCTATTTTTTAACTCATACTGAAGTAGAATAGACCCTTCTACGTCATAAGGAGTGTTAGCTGATTCTTTTTGATATGCACCCAATTTCATACATCAATCTCAGATCTCTCAAAACGTCCCTCTTGTTCAGTTTCAAAGAAGAGAATTTGAAAGCAAACCTTGAACCCTAACCATTGTATGATAATATCCATAAAAGCTTACACACAATCAAATCTGTCTATTAAGACCACTCAAGGAAAACTGCAGACAGTCGGCCTTTCTAGGCAGGTTCTACAACACACATTTCATAGAGGGAGACAATGTAGGTGGTCACAATAGAGAGGGGGCCACCAAGACAGGTTTGACTGTATATAGATAAACCTACATACAGTGATGAGCTTACTGGCAGGTGAAATATAATTTGAAATGATTTAAAAACTTAGCACATCTTCCATTTCAAATATGTGAATGGCAAGTATTACTCTTCTTTTTTTTTACCCCTCTTGTTCATCTCTTTCCTTCTCTTGAGATTCTCTCAATTTTTAAAGGATCTATTTCCCTTCTGATTATTCTGCTTCATTCTAAACCCCATGCTTCATTCTAAACCCCCTACAAGAGATATGCACATACTCATACTCAATAGCTGGTACATGAAATAGCTGTCTATCTTCAGCCTTTGAGATCAAATTCTTCAGACCAATTATCCCTTTAGAAATCCATTCTACCCTCGGGGAATTGTCATTTTGAAGATTCTGATAAACAAACAGATTCAAAGGGACTTGATTGTTAGTTGGTATCCCCCCCCCCCCCCCCTCATTGAAACCAAGCAATTTACCCGGGCCCTGCAAGGATCTTACCTGGTGGGACATTACAGAGTAGAGTGAGAAGAAAAGTTCACCTATAATGGTTTGGTGTCCACTGTGTATTGAGTGATTGGGTGCCGTATGAGTATGGACCAGGGACAGGCAGAGAGAGAGAGAGAAAGAAAATAAAAGAGGAAAAGGGGGAGACAGAGAGAGAGACAGAAAGAGGGAGACAGAGAGAGAGAGAAAAAAAGAGAGAGAGAGAGAAAGAGGGAGGAGAGAGAGACAGAGAGAGAGGGGAGAGAAAAGAAATGAAAAAAGGGAGAAAAAGAATAGAAATAGAGGAAGGATTAAAGAGGGAGAGACAGATAAAGAAATGGAGGACACTATTGCCATCGTAGACAGGTTGCCGTCGGCAACTGGTGGTAAATTTGACCCATTCCAAGGTATTCCTAACAGGTCTTATTGAATGATCTCAGAGGGGAGCAATGCAGACATGTATTAGGGGGACTACCACAGAGTATATGCTTGTATTATTGGTATCGGAGAGATTGTGGTTTTGTTGATCTTGTGTGTGGGTTGCGCTGCTGACATCTTGTCATTTGCCATTGGTGGATGCCCACAAACGGGAGTTGGTTTGGCATCTGTCAAGGTAGGGTTGTGGCTCTGTAATTCATTTTTTCTTCTGCCATATTTAGTCTTGTCTTCATTTGCATTGGTAAGAGATATTTCATTCATTCTGTGTAGCTGTGATGTGGTTTGCGTTTGGTCAACATGACCTGTGCGAATTTGAGGTTGTATTATACTGTGGAGATTGGAGATCATCAAGTTTTGGTTATTTTGAATTGCTAGCTCTCATATCATGGAAGGTTGCATTCGATTTGGCAGATTTTGAAAGTCTCTGCATCACAAGTAAAATGTCATAACTATTGTTTTCCTGTTGAGCAAATGATTTTGTTAAAACTTAGCAAACACCCAAAATGGTTTATTCAGACTTTAGCTTTCAGAGTATATTTATAGTATTTTTTTTCCTTCATCACAGCGAAGTGGATTATATTGATGTAGTAGCTGCGCTTTATAAATTGATCTAATGATTATGATTAGTAGTACTTTGTTTGTGAAATGGACCTGTGCTCTTTGCACGTATGTGGCTTTCCGATTGTATAGATGTTTCGATCAAAGTTACTAACCAAGAAAGCGTTTCTTGTATTTCTAAAGTCTGTGTCAAAGTGCGATCAGTGTGTAATTATTACTCTGCATCAGCGTAACGAATAAGAACCTCAAATAATGTGATTATTATAATTGTTTGCATTAGTCCTTCATTTAAAAATATCAGGTATGTAGGCCTTCAACAAGTTTACCTCTGATTTGCATACGGTATCTTCTCTCCATTATGGTAGCAGCGCTTCTGTGATCTTTCTCACACCCGTTAATAACCATCGTTATACAGTAATCCTGCTTATTCTATCTATACTTCTTCTACCTAACATGTTTGTATTCATTGCTTCTTCGTTAATTGTTTACAAGCTTTCTTCAGTGTCCATTTTTTTCATCTCATTCATTCGTTATTTTCTCTTTCTTGCTACCCTACAGTAAGCTGTCGTTAGAAGACATCAGCAAGCCCAAAGACTACAAACACATCTTCCATGTAGGCGTCGACGGAAAGGTCGAAGGTGACCCAACGTTTGGGGGTGACTAGTAAGTATTCCTCATAATTAGAATTAACTAATCAGAACTACTACTGTGCGCTTACATCATTAGGGTTGCCTTTATCCCAATTAGTCAACAGTTTTATTACATTTTTAGGGGAGGTGGGGTTGGGGGGGAGGGGTGATTGTTGATAATCATCGGCTGGTCCAAGGATTAAGCCGTAATGTCGAGCGAAGTTCTTGGGTCATCAATACTGATACAGATGTATGTTTCAGGATGACTAGTGTAGTGTGCTAACTCTGATAGAGATAGACAGATCAAAATACTGCTGTGTATTAAAGTAAACTGTTGGTTTTGTTGTACTGTAATCTTTAGCTTTGAGCAATGCATTAATCCTGATTAGTCAATAGAACTCCACAGTAGGTCAGACTTCTCCTAGTTGATGAAGTGATATTAATATGTTATTTACCTCAAGATTTGATAGTGCTTCCTACAAGACTGTGAGCAAACATCCCTGATGTAAAAAATATTTCTCACTTGAGAACCAGAAAGATGTTAGCGTGTAATGAGCTTGTATAGAATTAATTTCCTTATGATTCTTACCAATGAAGACTACAACAAGAATAACAAATATAAAAATAAGCATATTTTCCTGCATTTATTGAGAAATCATCAAGGATATAATATTCAAACAACAATAATAGTATGCAATATAATTGATTTACATCAAATTTGACAACTGAAATACAAAAAAATTAAAACCATAGATGTAATTGAAAACTTTAAAGTGTGGAGGTAAGTCAAAGATTCAAGATGAATGTAGAGACCAACTATCATAAACATGAATGCTTGGCTTTACGATCATGAGAGAACAAATTGTCTTCTAGTCCCAGGAAATGCACTTTCTTCTGCCTATTTTCATTTATTCAGTGACAAATACATAACCACAATATAATTTTAATTCTTAGAATGACACTTCTCATATACTCTACCTACATTAACACCATCTCTGTGAGCATGAAAATGAGTGGCATTTTTTGTAGCTGTAGTGCAGCTGCAATTGGTTGCTGGCTAGCTGAGCGCAATCCTATTCGGTTTGTACCTTGTCATGACACACATCATTTCCTATCTTCCTAATTATGTGCTCACCGGTCTAGAACATAATTATCCTTCACAAATCCCAACCATGCATCCTAGAAATGCTAATAATAGATCAGAAATAGACAAGGAAAGCCGCCTGAAATTGCAACACGAGAGAAAAAAAATGATGCATGCATACTATCATTAGCAAACATTACATTAATGCATGATTTTGCAATTGAGTATATGACCTAGCAATTTAAATTCCTCACATAATATAACTTTATTGTACAGAGAGTAAATACATGTAAGTTGTATTGATATAATATTTTCTTGACTCCTTGTGTCTTTCAACTAGTACATGTAGGCTTGATAGCTTTGGGAATGGTTCTACATATATTGGTGGTATATTATACATTTTCAATACATACAATATTGCTATAAAGTTTGACCTGAGAAATATTTTAATGTAGGGCAATTCATATCACCTTGGTCAGTTCAAGTTGAACAGTCCTTGACCAATAAGAGAAATCATACAATTTTTTCTTTTTTCTTTTGTGTTCTACCCTCTATTATTGTTTTGGAGTCATTGATGCCAGACCAACTGGTTTTGACATATTTGGCTGCTAGTCTGTAATTTCAGGCTATATGGGGTACAAGTACTGGTATATATCGTCCTTGTTTTCACGAAGTGACGGTAGTGAGGAAAATCGTAACGCAAAGTGAATGCAATTTTTTTTCACTACCGTCACTTCGTGAAAACAGCGACGATATAGTTCCTTTTGGAATATGAAACAACTAATCAAGAAATTTATCGAAATTAATATATGAATAAATAAATGAATACATTCTTAGGAATTCAGTCTGTCTACTTTCAGTACTTACTCTGCAAGCAGAAACTTTATATTTGCAGTCTGAGAAAATATGATGATACACTAAACAGAGGGCAGGGACACATGGGAGCCCAAGTCCCCCCCCCCCCCCCCCAATAAAACAAAAAACAAACATAGGGGTCATTTACATGATAGACTCTAAAAAGTGCAGTCTGGACCCCCTCCCAAATGATCATCGTGGAGTCCTGTGATACTATCTATTATAGCATCATGGAAATCAAGACTTTGTCTGAAATCAGAGTTTCAAATTCAGACTACATGTGAAGATATGCATTTTCATTTCTACTGTGATGACTCAGCATCAAGACCAATACATATGGCGTACTCAAAATTATATTGGAATTGGATGGATAACTAGTATGGTTACAAGGCCAGATGGAAGCACCTAAACAGTCACGGTCACGTACATCTTAAGGGAATCTGAATTATTCATTTCATAATTTATTTTAAAGATAATGTAGGATGCGTGTAGGAATTGGGGTTAGTCTTAAAATGTTGTGACATTAATGTTACCTTTATTCAATATTTGAGATTTTTCTGAGTACCGGTATAATATTTTTACTTTCATTGTTGTGTTACCTTTTTTACTAGACCGGTTTGAAAGGAAGTACCTATAGCAGACATGTTATTTAGACATTTTCTGTAGAAGAATTAAAGGTTCTCAGATTTTAAAATATTTTCACAAATTTCCACAAATATGCTGACAGTCTAATTACAGATATTCTAATTTTCAAAAGAAAGACCCACAAAAATGGGAAAATGCTGCTGTAGAATAATGAAAGAATACCTCTTTTCAAGCAGTGCCTCAGAGTACGATATGTTGTATTCCATTTCTATAGTTAGGTACTTTGGATTCAACAAACAGAAAGAGAAAGAAGCCACAATGACTCAATGTAAGATTTGTTCAAGTTAAATGCAAAGAAACATGAATTCATGTTGAATCATCCCTTTCAGGAGATTATTCTTAAATCTCGGATTTGGTTTCATTTCATATCTTCTTGAAGAAAGAACATTTTGGACTGTCAGCAGTATTGTGATCTCTTGGTGTGTGGAGGTTCTATTCATTCTTTTGTCAATATGTGGGTGTGTTGTTCAGTGTTAGCAACAAAAAGAATGTTGATTGTTCTGTGTCTGGGCCTTGGTACGAAGGGCTACCTGGCTAGCTAGGGTGTGATGACAAAAGTTCAGCAAATGGAGCTTTCGCAGCGAGTGTGTACTACTCTGTACCTCCGAATGGTACCAGAGTGCTCAAAATACAACAATAACAAGATTCTTATCAAAGAGTGTTTACTCTGTCCATGTTTACATTATGAGTATGAAGAACAAACAGTATGATTCTGCGTATTTAAAGTCAATAGCTTGTCGTTTCTACTTTCTAGACTGATGACAGGGTAGCCCCCCCCCCCCCCCATAATAATTTAAGATACTGTACCCTCAGTGTAAGAATACTATCACACACCACTCCCTCCCTCCTTCCCCCTTCTTTCTCTCTCTCTCTCTCTCTCTCTCTCTGCTTTTCATTTTGTAATATAATTTTCATATTCTCTAATTTCTCTTCCATTTAACTCTTCAAAAATATTGTCAGCCTCTTTCCCTTTCTGTATATATCCCTGTTCATCTTTCCTTAAGCTTTCTTTATTTTAAAATCTATATGTACCCCTCCCCTCTGCTGCATGCCATCCAGTTTTTAGAACATAATCCCTGATGAGAATTCTTCACTCTGCCCCTTTAATCTTGATACCTTTTGATCTGGATACGCCTTCCAGTGGGTTAGGGTCTGTCTGTCAAACAATGCTGTTTACTAATCCGCCTCTGCACGGTAGTTGAACCTGAATGGCAGTCCTGTATAATAAGGTTGCTCAATCTCCATTCAATGCTAGTATTTTGAAGTTATGTCAGTCTGGGATTACTCATAGCATTACAAATCTGTATCGGACCTTGTATAGGTTGCTCCTCGGTTAAGCCGAAATCAGATTGATTACATAATTGTTTTGTTATTCTGTGTATACACTGATAATATCTCCAGTCCGTTTGAAGTGTTGGATTCAAACTTTGGTCTTACAAGGATATCCAGTAAGTGAGGTTTATGCAGAGTTGGTTTTCTTGCTCGACTTGCATTTCTATGTTAATTTCAATCAAGGATCTAAGGTTTTCAGGTAAAAGTTGGCTTTAGGAGAATCTAAGTTATTGCTACATTTACATGGTAATATGTGCTTATTCATACATGTACATGTACAAATATGAAGTATTTCTTGATTAACTGGTGTTTTGAAGTAATGAATTATTGTTAAGTGGCTCAAACATGCAAAGCAATATGTGCATTGTTTTTGTAACTGCAAGAAAAAGGTGCCTATTGGATTGGATAGTATTTTTTTGCTGATGGAAGTTCTAAAGTTAATGAAGGACATACAGTTAGTTTGAAAATACTGTAATGTTTTTTATATAAATATCATCGTTTTAATGGACATTCTTTATGGCTAATTTCATATACATGTATATCAATGAATTTTGTCTTCTCTTTTGTTTGCCCAGTCGCAATATACCAAAGACAGATGAGGAGGACGAGGAAGAGGGTTCCAGCCCATCAAGGTCATCATCAACATCAGGACGATCTGATTCTAAATCTTCCACACCTTCAAAATCGCCAAACAAGTCCAAAAAGAACAACAAGAAGAACATTTCCGCTCCCGTGATTGAACTCTCAAAAGACACTATCCTTCCACCACCAAACGGTTTTGATTCGGGTTCTACGGTTAGCGTACCGGATGTGGTACCGTCCGTAACGCAACAGGTGTCTAGTGCTCCACCGCCCATCCCGCGACAGCCACCGCAGAAGCCACAGCCACTGCAGAAAGTGCAGAAGGCGCCCATCGCGGTGCTCGCGGAACCAGAGGTCACCTTCACCAACGGTACCAGCTCAACCTTCAAACAAGATCGCAGAGAAGAAAAGAAAGATGGAGATTTGTCTGTGAGTATAATACAAGTTTGGGTGTTAATCTCCAGATATTAAGGACTGTGTATTTCTTAACCAAAATTTGAAGCCTCTAATATATAGGTTTTATTATCAAAATGTTTTCATCTAACACTGATGAAGAAAGTATGGAATGATGTAATTGGGTTAATCCAAACAAATTACCTTGTCTTGCCAAAGTGTTTATACTTACGTGTATCTGTATAATATGTTATTATTATTACAAGTTCATTATATATATATTTCTTATAACAAATACACACTATATGTAATAATTTCATTTTGTTTTGAGAACATTTGTTTCATTAATTTGATATGAGTAACTCATATTTAACACATATTTTTTTTCCAACCAAGAACAATTACCTGTGCTCATATACATGTGGTATGCAAATCTCAGACCTGTATAAAATTTCACGTCCTTTGACATTTTGTCAATAATTCCAAAGAAAAGGGGATGGTTGAATTGTATGTCGCTTTGCATAGATTCAAGAAATTAATAGTTGCACTAAATGTGGTGGGATCGTGCTTTCATGCCAGATAAGATGTGAAATTACAATCTTGATTTAGATGCTTGCCATATTCTTCTTCGCTTTCAGAATGTTTAATAAAAGAAATATTTTTTGAAAAGATAGCAAGCATAGGACAAGATGAAACTAGCACTAGATATTCTTTGTTAATCTCATTTAACAGAAAAGTATATTGTATGATATTGGTACATTTGATATCTTTCACTGTTAAAAACTTAATCAAACCTAGATATTACTAATGACGTATTGTAGATGTATGCATAGTCAGAGTAGAAAGTAGTTTATCTCTGTTTCCTTCCTACTTTTGTTTAATCCATTTGTCTTTTTGTTATTATTATTCCATCGAACCTTTGCAGCTTACACCGGTATGTATCCTGAACGTGTTGCGCCATCTATCTCTATATGTACCCACTAACCATAGAGGCTCGTTCTCATTTGATGCATCAAACCGCCGCACCAAAATCAAAACTATTTATGTTTAAATTATTGGTAGAAGTGTTTCCTGACTGTAAAGAAGCATTGTATGCTTGTAAGGAAGCGACCAGGGGACCACCACTTTGAATCCTCTTCAAAGGACTTGATAATGAGGATTAATGCCTTACCAAAGGGCACTTGCGTTTGACTTGGTTTTGAACCTAGGACCTCCCGGTTACAAGACCACTGCTGTACCACTGTGCCATCATGCATAATGGTTACCAAAGGGCAGTAGCGTTTGAATTTTTTTTAACCTAGGACCTTCCGGTTACGAGACCACTGCTCTACCATTGAGCCTTTATGCCTAATGGCAAGTGGTGTTGAGAATAGATTATCTTAGCATATAAAGACCCCAACGGGTAAACACCTGCCTGTTTCTGACCGGATACGGCAATGTGAGATGCACTAAGGTCTACATCGTTTTATTTTGTTGCGGCAGATTTTTTAGGCGGTTTGACGTGTCAAATGGGAACGAGACTTAAATCCTGCTTGCTCGCTGCAATTACACCTTGTTACCCACTACTTCCAGTAATAACATAACCCCCCAAATTGCTTGTTTTTTTATTAATGACATTACAATTTTTTTTTTTTACTAAGAGTGAACTTATGGTTACATGATCTTAACTTTAAATGCCCATATCTTTTATTTTGTTGAAGAAAATCAATTTTAGCTATGGATAAGTATTTCTGAAAATATTACTTCCATCAGCTCTATTATTTTATTCATTGGCAGTATACCTATTGGTAAAATATAACCTTGCAAAATGTTTATTGGTCATTAGATACTAATGTAAAAATACCTGATAAATAAAATCTATATTCCCTTAAATATAACACTGTTTATCTGTGCTCCCTTTAGGTAAATAATATATGAAACCTATAAATCTATTTGTAGTTATTTTGCTCCCCTTTCCCTTGCAAAAGAAAACATTAACGACAGTCATCATTAAATGTGCTACATTTTAAGCTATATCTGGTTAATTCTAGTGTTCAAATATAGAATTGTGAGCTTTATATGTCCCCCAACTTATGTTTGTGTCTAATAGTAATATGTTAAATAGTGGAAACATTGTAATCCCTGTAACATAAACTCATTATAAACCTTAATTACCAAAGTCCATTGACCCAACCCAACTCCACCCCTTAACCCCAACTCCTCCCTAAATGAATCCAACCCAGCCCCTCCCACATCAGTAGAATGAGATAAACCCTGTGTAGATGCATACATGTATGTCGATACTGCATGAATGTATGGTCATTGTAAGGTCATAATTGTCCTACACAGTCATTTGCATATTGTTGGGAGATGTGCTGTTGTACCGTGTAGGTGTGGTAAGTATGGATCATAGCATAGTTACTAAAGAGAATGAAGTGCATTCTGTAACATTAACTAACTTCACTTCAAGAGGTTAATCCATTGACTAACCTTCAATGACACATATATATATATGAATATAACCCTTTCTCATAGGCTTCCTTCGAATCATCGGGTCATTGCGTCCGGTCCAGGGGTCACATTACACAACCTTTCATGAAATGAAAGCGGAAGATCATGTGATGATGCAGGTTAGGGTCATGTCCCTTTCGTAGAGTTGATGTGGGTTTCTCACAAAGTGTTGTGTAAATTAGACCAGACCATTTGTAAATGAGAGGGGTTTATTTCACAAACATTACCCCCGACATTTAGGAGATAAAGGGGCATGTTTTCACAAAAGGTTTGGGTAACGTGACCTGACGTGATGACGCGATGATTCAAGATAGCCTTCTCTTTGATGAGAACAAAAATATTAGTGGATTATTTAAAGTGAGTGTGGTACCTTGTTCTAAATTTGTATTGAAGCAGGGAAATCCGTTATGAAACTTAAGTTTTGTGGTAAGATATGGTGTCCTTTGGGATGAAGCAATAATTCTCAATTACTCTGTATCTTGTCCATGGCTAGGACTTGTACCTAGCTGACAGTAGGTCCCCTAGGTACATTGGGTTATAGATTCTTATTTTTTGCAAATGTTGGAAAAATGTTACAAACTGATGGGAAACACAAACTACAAGCCAAAGGGCACATTTTCTCGTTACGTTATGTTTCATTTCTAATGTTGGCAGAACTGGTTGATGATTAGGGAAATAAGGAAAAAACAAAACATGGGCCAAATCTCACATCTGCTTGTGTTTTTCATTTTAAATATTGGCAGAAATTTTTGTTGACAAGGAAAATGAGAAAAACACAAAATATGAGCCAAATGGCATGCTGATATCTTGTACTCAAAGGGTAATGGCATTTCCAGATGACCAAAATGATAAAATGCCTTAGATTTTGATTAAAAGTCTTCTTCCATCAAATCTTTGCTTTGGATTGCCCCCTACCTTTCAGGGCTAATTAAACTGAAAGACTGACCAGTTTCAAAAGTGGGGGTGTTCTATTAAAGATGTATTGCAGAATAAATCTTTAGTATTATGAGTGGCAAGATATCCAAGGGAAACAAACATCGACTATTACAAGTACCTCTCTTTACAATATTTTTGCAGATTATTGCTGTTAGTTTTGTCTTTGTACATATAGTAAAATGGTGTGAGGAAAGGGGAAAAACTAAAGAGGCAAATCATTCTTAAAGGTTTTATTAGTACTCGTTTTGTATGAAAATCCTGGTTATTTTTCAAGCCTTATTTCAAAGACTTTTCCACTTATTATTTTTATTTTTTATTTTATTCACTTTTTTTAAAAACCTGGAGATAGATATTTCAAATATTTAAAGATATATTTGTGGATACTTTACCCATTTTCAGTTTCACTTTAAAAGTACCTTTGAGCCATTGTTTGAGCAATAAAAGGGTTAAAATTGGTTATCAGTTTAGGCATTTCACACTCTAATCTGTTTCATCTCGCATGTTTACAGATAATCAATCCTTTTAGGTTCTGTAACCGATTAATCTTGGATCATGGTCAATGTGGCATGTGACAAGAAATTGTAGATTTTAGAACTAACCTGGGCATCGAAGATAGTCACTTGTTTGCGGCAAGTTTTAACAGGAACTGAAGAAAAGGAGCAAGGGGATAAAATCCAATAGCCAATATTTGGCTTTCAAAAGTCATGACAAGTATATGATGATGCAAATTACTTGTATCCAACACACCACCTTTCATAAGAATTGACTTAGGGTCCTTTTTTTGTAGAATGATTTTGATCTCATTTTGTTCTGGCTACCGGTACATTTATCTAGAATGCATCAGAATTATAAAATTTAGTTTCAAGATTAATTATCTCCTATGTTACAAGTAGTGGATAGTAATTGCTGAAAAAGGATGAGACAGATGAAATTTTTTAATACTCAAGATCCTTGCATTTACATCTGCCCCTGATTGCTACCGTTTATATCACTTACAGTTTACATTTTCCTCAAGCCAAATTGCATTGCTAAAGCTATTGTATAGAGCTCATGGCCAGGTTAAATGCTTTGCGCTGCTTTTGCTTTGTTCTGTCACTATACTCAGGGTGGTGTATGGGTGCTTTTTAAACCACTCCAGAAGCACGGCCTTTAATGTTATTATTTCATCTATCCATTTGTAAAACAATCCTACAGGTATTGTAAAAGTAAGCTTCTTCATAAAAATAGGAGGTGGTTATTGGTTGAGAGCTAGATGTGAGTTGAGTTATCTTACAAAGATTGAATGCCCATGGCCCCTAAAAACGTGTTGAAACGCGTCATATGACGCACATAAACCTAGGTTTGTCGACAAACCTCCTTTGTGAAATTGGGCCATAGGAAAAGAGAGATTATAACTATTCATGTACCCATATTAACATAATCTTTAACCATTTCTTGTTTATTTTGTTTCCTGAATTCCTGCAGTCGTTTGACATGGGCTCTCTGCTTGATGACATGATGTCCGTCTGGGACTCTGCTAAACTCAACCTCAGTTTCAGTGACGACCTAGAACCCACCCCTGAAGAAGAACCGGACGACTTCATGGAGGAAGAGGACTCCCTGTTGGAAGGTGAGGAAAATGCGTTTTGTAACGGCAATAGTAGTTTGTCACCTCCCACTCTCAGTGTAGGAACGGTGAACCCAGTGGCGATGGAAGCGGTGGTCGTGGCGAATGACGTAGAGGTAGCGGAGGAGGAGGCGGGAGCGGTGAATGAGGCGCAGGAGGAGGCGGAGCTTGGCGCAGTAGGCGGGGTTAGTGCTGCCGGGGTTTCTAACACGGGTAAAAGCGCAGAGGGTAGTATTCTTTCGGGGAATATCATCATCAAGGATAGCATGACAAAACCGACAAAGACATTCCGCAAGGTACCGCGTCAAACTGAGGAAGGGGAAGTGAATGAGGGTGTGGCTAAACCAGAGATTCGGCCCCAGGAACAGAGCCAAGCGCCGAGAAGCAGACCGGGTATGGATATGAACATTGCGAGGCAGATGTCGCGTGAAAAGCGATGGGATAATGAGTTCAAACGATTGTCATCGTCCCCTAAGGACAAGTCTTCTGATAACGAGTATATTGACACTAAAACAATGAATCAGAAGGTTGATAATTCAAGTGAGGAGTATGAAGAATTGGCCTTAGCTTCCTCCCCACAGCCTTATACCCTGAGAGACAACGTATTGGACAGTGCTAACGTTATGAGAGTGCCTCGCTTTAACGATGTCTCGCGAAGCGTCAGTCTGCGTACCACCAGACCTGGCACAGACCATTCTGACTCTCGAGTTGAAGTTGACCTGAATAGGAGTCGCAGCCTTCGTGAACCGCCCGTGTCCCCGTTAGGTCAGCAAGCATACGATAGTCTGGTGGGTGGGAATATATCGGGTAACCTGCGTAGGAAGCGTCCCGATGCTCCGGAGAGGAAGCCACCCGTGGTTCCTCCTAAGCCAGCACCCAAACCACCGAGCCGCGTTAAAGCCCCTGATGTCTCGGGAGAGGGGAGGTTCCGCAATGGCGAGGCTAGACTCTCGGGGTCAAGCTCTCAGCGCAGTTACAGCGGTACCTCTAGTGATGATGGTATGTCTGAAGACAATCCCAACATTCAGGTTACATCAGGAGATATCGCTGGGAAGAGTGGTGCCGTAGCATCCCTTAGGCAACGCTTTAACACCAACCAAACGGAAGATACACCACCCAGACCCCCTCCACGCGAACCAACAGACACCAAAGTAAGCTCATTCTCGGGTGTGAGGCTGAGGCGACGCGAACAAACAAATGGTACGAATGAAAACTTTTATGCGTCGGAGCCTGACAACAACAACGCGAGCCCAAAATTCAGTTCTACTACCCTCCAAAACCTTGAGCAGCACATGCCCCGCCGAGTGCGTCGCTCCGTCGGTGAGGACCGCATCAAGAGAAGGAACTCCAGCGATGCCAGTGACTCTGACACTGATGTTGCTAAGACGCGTACCGACCGTGTCTGGAGCACATCAAGCCATGCGGCCTCAGAGGGGGATAGCTCTTCAGACGAGACGGTCGGCTCCAATCGTCTCTCAACCTCTAGCACCGAGAGAAGCTCTTACTCAGAAACCCAGAGCAGCAGCGGTTACAAATCTCCACCGCGATCACTCTACGATCTCCCAGAGGATCAGGTGAGACATTGTTGAAATGATCTTGCACCCTCTTTGCCTCTGTAGGTTACCAAACAACATTTGAAGACTTTAAGATGTCTCAGCAGCTCATAGCAAAATTTTGATGTTCGGTGCTGTCAGAACAAATTAGATTCAAGTAAAAATGGACTACCATTTGTAGACACAAAGGCCCATATTCTAACCATCTTTGTTAAACTAAACTGTAAATTGAGCTTGAACCTAGCATCATTTATAGATAATGACAAAAAATTTATGAAAAATAATATGTTAAAAATATATCTTTTTGGATGAATCTCATGATGCAGAATAAAAACAAATAAAAAGATAACTATAGTTGGCACTCCACAACTACGGGCTGGCTGACTGGAGCATGTTGTTATAGAAATGAATAATCAGTTCACTTTCAAATGTTATTTGAAATTTGCAGTGGCAGAGGGGGAGAAGAACTCTAAATAGTTTAGAAGACATACACCCTAATGACCTAAAATTGTGATTCTCTGGTTGGTGAATTTAACATATCACTAGAAGGCTTCTTTCTCTGCAATAATCTTTGCGGTGCTAATAATAAACTGTACAGGGCATAATCATAATTGATTCATTTTAATTGGCTTGAGAGAATAATCTTTAGGAGGGATCAAAATGATTAGATAGAGATTTGAATTAGAAGAAATAATAAAATGGCTTGATTTTCGAAAGGAATCTCTTGTATGTTAGTTTTTAAGCATGATTCGCTGTCTGAAGTACCGTATGTTAAGCATGTACTTCTTAGAGATTAGAAGAAAGAGGATCACAAATGTTTGGATACTTGACAATTTAAACCCAGGAATGCTCCTTAAGATTTCAAAGAATGCCTCTTTGTTTTGAGACGTAGTATATTAGAAAGCATCTTGCTGTACACTACAGTTCTTGGTATTCCTTTTCTTGCATGAATCAAACTGAATGAACCTAGAAGATATTTTGGACTCTCTACCTCTCCTTAAGTCTTGATTTTATTTTATTTATCCAGGAGAATATGATATATGAATACATAAAGTTAAACATTGTTTAGTGATGGATTAATAATCTAAATGTAGAAAGAATTATGATAAGGAGTTGATAAAGTGACAATGATTTGGCAACAGAGGGCGCCCTCTCAAAAATGTTCTAAGATTTTGTAGAAGGGATGGAAATAGAGCAGTTGTAAGATCAGTTATATTTTGAACTGTAACTTGTTTTTATTTGGTTTGTTCCCAGAAAAAAATAGTACAAACGTTTATTTATAATGCTTTCTATGGCAGAAATATGAAATATATTGGAATATACCCAACCATTCATCAATACAATATGCACCCATGCTCATTGTTTAAGAAATAGATCAATCATAGCACTCTTATATGCCACTTCATTTCCATATCATCACCTCTACGTATTTGAAAACCTTTCTTAATAGGGAAAATTACATGAAAGGGAACTTTAGGGAAGTGAAAAATGATAGGGCATCTCTTGAAAGTTATTAAGTGTATTAAAGAGTGTCTTTCACTAGGAATATTACATATAGGCAAATTGATAATGAATATTATATTAAATCAATTGAAAACTGCTCTTATTGCATTGTAAAGAGCTCTATGTAGACTAGAATTTATCTATTTAGACATGTACACCAATGTATGTACATGTAGATTAGGTAACAATCGTAAAAAATTAATGGGGCCTAATATCTTCATGAATGATTTTGAGCAGTTCTATCTACGGTAGCTGAAAATCCTACTTGTGCTTTTAAGAGTTTCATTACGTGACTGAATGTAGCTTTGGTTTATAGGAGATAAAATATTTTAATCTTGCTGTGCTAAGATTAAACTCTTATGTTAAAAATATGAGTTGTAAGCTGTAATATCTGGGAATTTTTTGGTACACTAACCGAATTCAGGGTAATATTTTGATTCTGACTCTTGTTTCCTCATTTTCATGCGGCAACTTTTGTTAAGGCTTTCCATTAAAAATGACAACAGTGTCCTTGAATATTATTGGTCATTTTTATTGTTCAACAAATTGTCAAGAAGAAAACATTTTTTCCAACTTGACCATTTCAGTGCAACTGCTCTATTGTGTATTTCAATGCAAAAGCATTGGCAGCAAAGAGTGTCTCATTTTATATTCACAAAATTGTGTGAGTTGAATGTATACTCTAATTGAAGTGTAGTTCTATGTTTGTGAACTTACCTTTACATTTGTACTCCAGTGTTAGAAAGCAACCATTTGATTGCAATCTAGCAATTGTGACAGAATTTGATCAGGGTATCTTTTTTAATTTTGGGAGAAAAATTAGGAACACCGTAACTTTTTCTGTCCATTCAGTTCATATTGTCACATCCATTCATGGTCTCCCTAATATTTATAGTTGTTCATGAGTTTCATTGGATTCAAATAAAGAACGCACCAACTGTTTTCACCATTTTAGGTGTACTAATAGTTCATATAAATGATTTGCATCTGTAAACCATTGAAAATAAAAAGATCATTCATCATGTTTCCCAATTACCAAAAGTCTTTTTTCCCCATTCCTCTCAAGTCCTCAAATAAAGATTCCTTTATTCAGAAAATTCAGAAAATTATAGGATGGCTGTTATATCTGGAAGGGTCACGAACTCACGATGAGATGAAAGAATAAAACATTTCCTGACATGTAATAGAATTGAAAACTGTTGTAGGTAGCCCCCCCCCTCCCCCCCCCCCCCCCGAAAAAAAAGCACCGGAATTCAAAAAAAAAAAAAATTGAGAGAATGTTTTAATCAAATGCATCATGGGCTATGGTTATAACATACCTACCTTATCTTCTACTGAAATTGAATGCCTGTGCATGATTTGGATAAAAATCATAAAGTTTATTGACATTTAAAATGTTTTATTGTTTATTGCATGGAGTGATATATAAATTAAAGATTTATTATGGCTCATACTTGAATTAAATGTATTTAAATTCAAAATTGACTATGAATGAGGAATGAGGAATGCTCATGTACCAGTATTAGCCATCATGATGTCATCTTGAAATCATCTATCCAGACCACTTGACTTCTATATGAAGTATATAGTAACCACCAGTTGAAATCATGTAGTTGAATATTTATATCAATGTGTAAAATAGATATCTAATGAATGTTATTTTTGTCTCTCTGTTTCTCTCTCCCTCCATATTACACTCATCCCATTTGTCCATTAATATCCATCACTTTATATGTTCTCTCTCTCTCCCTCTCTATCTCTCTCTTCTCACATTTCTCCCTCTATTTTTGCCTTTTATGCTCTTTTTTGTGCACTCTTTTGGTCATTTGTATTGGTTTCTTCGATTTTGTTTCGTTGCACTTCGCATCATGTGTGTAAATTGCACTTCACATTATTCATTTATTGATCGCATCATATTTTGTTTTATGTTTTTGTCTTGTTGTTTATTTTTATGGATATATGCAATTTTCTTATTTTCTTTTGGGCAATGGTTATTATTTTCTAACGATACCAACTAAATCTACCCATTATATTTTCTGTTCTTAAAATGAATGCTGTTTGGATTTTTATTTTGTAGTCTGAAATTATTTTGCTTTAAAGACCATATATAGCCTTTCCTCACTTATTTGATTGTAATTATTATATCATAATTGATTTCAATATGTGCTATATTTGGATTCTGTTAATGTATTATTGTTTGCCTTATATGCTACATGAGGGGAAATAACATATTTTTTCATTCTTTAAGTGGTGTACATAATAATATATATATGTATATAATTCCCCTTTATTATAAAACTTTTAACAATGTTCACCATACTGCTATACGCGTACATGTGGAAATTAAACGTTATAAAGCAAATTCAGTTCATCTTCCAAGTTCCCTTCCTTTTTCAAGCATCTTACAATATCAATCAAAATTATTGCTTTTTCAAGAAGAATGGAAAAATGCTCAAACTTTAAGCCTCATCAAATAAGATATTTCAGTTAGATTAATTCAGGATCATATTATTTCAATAACTTTAAACTGTATATTTTCAAAAATGTTAATCAGGGGAAACCATCCAAATTCACAGGAAAATCATTCAGAAAATTATTGTACAAGTGATTGAATCCTGTTCTGTGATTGAGTTTATTATTGCTAATTGTTATTACTATTGTTTTTCTTTGGTTTTGTAATATTTGCAAACTGGTTAAATTTTTGTTTTTGTAAAATTGTGTTCTGTTTGTGCAAATTCCAATATTTTCCAAACGAATTACATGAGCATGTTTTGGGGCTAAAAACTCATGGTTTATATAGCTTTTTTACTGAATTATGGAAATTATGAAATCCAAATTTCATTTAGAACTTTAAACTTCATCTGAAATATTATGAATGGTCTTGCAAAATTTCACCAAATACTTAGTGAGCCCCATCACTGTTATGTTTATAGGTAGTTGATACCCTTTAAAACTAACTACTTTATTTTACAAAGAAGATTTTGTCATTCATCAAAATCAGAAAGAAAAAGGATTAGGCATGGATTCCCGAGCATGTGTTTGGATTTTTAATCACCCCTTCCATATTTGTTTATTTTTTTCTTTCTCCATCCCAATTCACACAACCATACCTATTCCTAAACCTCCTTTTCTGTTTATTTTATAAATTTCTTGGTGGTATGTGGTTTGTATCTCCTTTGATCCCGTCTGTTCTGTCCCTTTAACCTTCCCTCCCTCCCCTCGATTCATCATTCATAAAATACATGAATCTAATATAGACTAACAGCACCAGTAGCCGAGCAGACCAACCTTCACTATCATCTGAAGACCCCCTGAGCATGGATCATAGACCACCCCCTTTGCCCCCTCGAGTCGCCACGGACTCCACTACCACCACCACCACCCACCGTAAGGCCCCCGATAGACCCCCTTCTGGAGGCAGAGATGCCCATTGGACACGCCCACCGGAAGCAGGGGGGCACAATGGCGATATCCCCCAGAATGCAGTGCCCCCACCTCGCCCGGTACGATATGATATCTACGACCGGCTGCCGCGAAGCAGGACAGTCGATTTGGGTGAGCATGCGTTGGACTCCCAGAAGCGAGCCACTCGGCCAGACTATGATGTGTTACCTGTGCGCAGACCGGTTTGGAATCAGAACAAGAGCTATTCCATGGATGGAGAGGATAGTGATGACTATATGGTAGGCTCGGCAGCCAGTTTGAGACAATTGCTGAGACAGCCTAATGTATCTAGTAATGAAAATGTGAATAATAATCATGATGAGATTGACAGTGATGCGGATAACTTGGAAGATATGCCAGACATGTCGCCCCCTCCTGTTCCAACTACCCGCAAATCATTCATTGATAGCACGTATGGTGAAAGTCCTTTTGTGCAACGCTCGGTAACGCCGGACACTAGTGTAGCCCCAGTGCAGAGACACTCGATACGTGAACCCGAGTATGTTATGATGAAACCGCAATCGGTTCAAGACTTGAAGCGTGAATACACGCAGCTTTCTTCAGCGGACAGTGACTACGCTGTTCCGATCAATCATAAACATACTAGCCCAAATAATAATTCCAGTCCAATTCAAAACAATGCTGCCAACGCCCGTTATCTTTCTGATAAAGACAAAGCCATCTATCTCTTAATGCACCCTAAACGTTCATCAACCCAACAAAGCAACAATTCTAGCCATAGTTTCACCAGGACAAAGAGTGCCCATCTGGTGAGGCGACCCGCGTTCCTGAGAGCTGCAAGGACACCGGAGCAGCGCCGCGGGACGGTGTCGGCTTCAACCAGACTCAAGGATGCGGAAGGGTCATCCAGCCTTCCTAGGAGTGACCAGTCGGCCGGAGAGGGCCATAAGATGAGGCGGTCCAGGAGCACTGATGATATCTTGAAGGACGGTGACTGGACAATGCCTGAAGAAGCAGAAAGTCTTCAAGACCTTCTAGCCAGGGCCCACATCTCACCAAGTGAGTAGAGAATAGAGTCCTGTCTCATAAAGAAGCCTGATGATTACCCAATTTAAATCGGTTTCTAGATTATTTTTTTTCACAATTTTTTCCTGATGTTCCCCCCCCCCCCCATTTTTTTTTTCTTCCGGATTTTACCCCAATTTTCTAACTCAAAAGGCGGGGAATGTTGTTAGATGCCTTTTTTTTTCCTGAATTTTTTTTTTTTTTACTCAAAGGGGAATGGTTGAGGAAAAAAACAAAACTTTTTTTTTTTAGTGCTCACCATCACCTCTGCATAAAGAGTTGCGATTGATCTCGCACAATCAATTATCGTCCAAACATTCTCAAGGTAACATTCTTATATCAGACAGCGTTGCAGTCACTGTCAATCACAAGTGAAGTTGGTATCAATTTTAATTATTGACAACTCTCTGAACGACAGGGACCTGGAGTGTCTAACTACAAATATTCCCCTAGAATAAACAAAGTCCATACAATTATAGCCACTTTCCCATTAGGAGACACAGCACGGTCTCCCCCCCCCCCCCCCTACTTTTTTTTCTCCAACTGTCCTCTAAGTAGTAAAAGGGAATAAAAAAGCGCCTAGCTTAAAACAATTTTATTGCAGGGCTCCAAACTGTTTTAAGGTTTTTGTTGGAAGGAAACGGTAAAAATCATACCGGTAATACGTCTTATTAACAGATATTTACGATAATATTAGGTTGCTTATATTTAGACTTGGAGCGTCATGAGCTTTACACTCATATGATCATCAAGCACATACATGCCCTGCAAGCAAAGGAGAAACAAAACCTTTAAAGAAAATTGGTAACATCAATCAGATGAGAGAAAATGGTGCTTAGGTAGTGACTTCAATGCTAGATGTCCAATTATAATCTGAAAGTCTGAGTGAAAATAGACCATTATTGACGATATAAATTGGGAAAAACTGATCTGATCGATTCCTAAATTCTCCCAACTATATTAGTATATTTTAATTTTAGGTGAATGTAAATCATCACAAAGCAATGAATTGGCACTTTATCCCATTCCAAACATTTAAGTGTTGAAAGATTTTGGAAAGCCTGTTTTATGTCGTATATTCATGGTAAAACAGTTGGGAAAATTCAAAAAATTGGTTGGGAGAATTTACTGTTAGAGGGCTTGACCATTGATGCCTTCAAAGAAAACCATACATATCTTTGTGGTTTGAGCATTTTTAAGGATTTTTTGCATGTTAGAGGGTTAGTTAAGTAGAAGGAATATAATAAGTTCCATTTCATACAAAAATTACATTTTTTTCATCAACTTTCAACAATAATAACGGTTCACTTTAAAACGGGCCTAGTATGTAAGAGATCAGTGTGCTGGGGATTATGGGTGCTTAGACATGTCACTAGAGCATAGATCCTCTGTTGAAAGAGTATTCATAGTTGACAGAAGGCCTGTCTTCATCAGCTTGAGTTTGCCAAATAACCCACTATTTTCAGTCTCTGGATATTATCTCGAAGCTAGAAATTGCGTCATCACCAGACCGATACGCTCATCACAAGCTAGCTCGGATGGGTGTAAATTAGCCCGCTATTTCCTAAATAGCAGGATATTTTGGATACAAGACCAACATTTCTTGAGATATTTTCTTGACCAAATGTACAGCTAATTGCAACTGCGGGCTGATGAGGACTTAAATCAACTGGCTAATTTGCAATTAGGATAGTTAAAATAGCGGGTTATTTGTCAAACTCGAGCTGATGAAACTAGGCCTAGAAATCCAGGGACGCTTCCACAACTACCACAACCACCCCTATCCCCCCCAAGCATCATACCATGTGACTAGTTTTACAGGATAGATAGATATTTTTATTGCCACATTCCCTCTCCTTTTCTACCAACTTCATTCCGTTAGTGAGTTTGTTCACCGAGGGCTTTAGGTATGAGGTTTCGGCAAACACGATTAAATCAGTTCGAATAATAGAACTAACAGCTTCAACTTTTCACCTTCTAAGGGGGCCAAGAAGTTAAGAACACCAAATATTTTTGTTAAATCATAGATTGCAACACCTGATGTTGCCAAAGTAACTTAAATGTACAAAATTATATAATTAAAAGGTTACAATTTACATGTGGAAATTAAATACTCATTGACATCTTTCTTGATTCTCTCCAAGGTTTTGAATAGCAACATTGCCAGGAGAAAAAAAACCAATGTATGGTTATGTAAATTAACTATTAGATAACTTTCATGTGGGTTTTGCTATGAAAAACAAAAAATAAATAAATGAAAAAGTAACGAAATAGCAGAGAAAATATGAAAATGATAACAAATTTGTCATGTCGTAGACCTAAGGCTTTAACACGCATCCTGCCAGACAAGGAATACTCGTCAGTCTCTTGATAGATACTAATACAATATGAACAGCATGTGGATGATCCTCCTGTGTGGCCTCACATTTACAACAGATCCTGTGAAAAGTGGCACTTTGCCATGAAGACAATACCAATACTTTCCATTGTAGACATGATGGACATATGTTACTGATGGCATGTCCTGATTTAAAAAATTGTTTCCAATTTTTTGTTGAAAGTAAATTCATATTGAGTTTTCTGAAGAAAGAATGTCTTTATTCAACCTGATTTGATTCTCATTACCTCCCTTATTAAACACTTTCTTATTGCTCCTCTCACATTTTTTTCAAAAAATATAAATCTTGTCTGTCTCCTGTTGTCCTGTTGCTTTAGTGTACATAATTATTCATTTTCGTATTGCAATTGGTATGCAGATACAGTTGAAATGAGAAAACAGCTTATATTTGTCTTTATGTTTTTTTCTTTCAGCTGACCACCATTCCACAAAAGATCCCAGGAGCAATTACCTAGTCCCACCATCCGCCAGACGCAAACTACCATCACCAGATGCGCACCAGATAACTACGAGTACCCCTCCCCCATCATCTCACACCCGTCCGCACTCCCTCAACCAGACCCCGCCCTCGTCTGGTTACCACGGCGAGGCAGCATACCTTGACATGTCACAGAACTCGCTGGAGAGGAAGAAGAAGAATGAACAGGAGAAAGCCGCTTCCAACTGGATAAAACCGGTTCAAACTAGCTCAGAACATTCATCCTCTTCTTCCTCATCAGCCATTACTACAAAACCGGTTTCATCCAAGGGGAACAGGTTGTCTTATCCACCTATATCCAGTTCAAACCAGACCAAAGCAGTTCCATCCAGCATGGCAGCACCACATATTTTGTCCAAATATGTTTATGATCCTAATGATGATGAAGTAGATTTATGATATATAGATATTGTTAAGATGATCAATGGCAAGATGTATTTTGAAAATGGAGCTGTCATTCGAAATGGACAAATTTTTGTGTTAAATTAAAACGTTTCGTCTGTTTCTATTAATTTTGTGTATTATTGTATGAAAACATATTGTATGACCAAGTACAATACTTGTAGGTACCCTCATGTATTTGTCTCCCCCAACCTCATTTCATTTGATACTGGTGTCAAGAGGATTTATAGAGGAATTGAATATACTTTATATTTCCCCTGAAATCAAAGCTGTATGTTTTTTAGAATTACAGAGAAGATTCACCAGATTTATTTCATGGAAAGAAACATTCCTGCGGTGTATTTTCTTCTTACTGTCCTACGCCTTAATGGAGAGGGAACATCTTAAATGTAGATCGACAACTCCAAAGTATCTCAGTCGATGAATTTGAATCTCATTTATCAAGTAAATATAATCAGTGTGGAATTGGAGCATCCTATGGCTCAATAATTTGTTTCTCCTTTCATTTTTTTCTCTGCCTATCTTTCTTTTTATAGAGCCCTATTTTGTTTCTTGTCGTGACATTGCATTTCACAGTATTTTTTCTTTGGGTAATATGCCATCCCGAAAGCGAAAGGTAGAATTAAAAAAGAAATCTTCTATTTCGTAGGTCAAGGTCAAGGCCTTTTCTATATTTCTCATGTACCCCAGATATTCTCTTTTTATATTCCTACCTCAAAGTGATACTAATAATTTGTTACAATAAAATAAAAGCTGATGAAGCCAGTGGGTTACAAACTATTCATGATCAAGTTCATCTGAGAGAGCATGCAAAAAGGTATATTTTATGATCATTTTTTGTGTGGTAAATTTCATACTGAAGATGCTTCCCGTCTTTGAAATCCTCCCATCTTTGAAATCCAATAATCTTTGAGAATTATCCAATGCATTTGCAAAAAGAATTAATGTATGTGTTTTGTCTTGTTCTCCTGCAATGTTGTAATCCTGAATGGAAGAAAGAATGGTTTGTATTGTAAGATTGTGATTAAATACAGTTAATCCAAGAGAAATTGAAGCTAAAGGATTTATGTACCAACATTTGTTGGATTAAGATGAAAATGTCACTTAAAGGAGAAGTCTACCCACAATCTCTGTATAAAACTTTCCTATTATCCCTATGTCAGTTTTACATTGTTGGTACTTTGCCTTCTAAATTTGAAGAAAAAAATGATGATACACATCTTGACGAGAAGACATATTGATGAAAAATGAAACAGTAACATTTCTTGCATATGTTTGATGAAAGATATGAAATTACTCATCATGAATAAGATGATTCATTCCGTTCAGCACACATACTCTATATTGTCTCATTTGACAAGGGATATACAAACAAAATAGCTATTTACTATTGCCTCTGCACCATACCAAAAAAAAAACGCTGGTGTATCTTCTAGTGTGACAAAAGACAGTAAAGCTAGATTGCTTTAAAGAATGATTCATATTGTCTGTTTCGAGCCAGGAGGGTGTTAACTCATATACTTTACACACAGTCAGCCCCCTGGCTCCAAACAGACGCTGTGTTGTATCACTATTCTCATCATATATTTTCTTCTGCTACGAGTATGAGCACATTGTGCTACAGCTATTTGTTTACATGTCATTTTGGCCTAAATGTGTATTTATTAACTGCCATCTTTTTAATCTTGTGTTATATTCTTCCAAACCGACTGTCTCAGCAACTACCATATACCTTTGAAAAACTTGTCGCATCTGCTACTAAACATTTATGGAAGACTTTTATTGATTATTGTGTATTATGTTTGTAAATAACTACAAATATAAACAGAAATGTACATTTTTTTATATATTTGATAAAATTGAGTAGTGTTCATTGTAGAGTGACATGAACAGATAGTAGATACATTACAAGACTTGCATGGTTGCATTATACTCTGTTTCTTTACTAATATTCCTCTTTTTTAGTAGATTGTTTACTCCATGTTTCAAAAGATGTGCTCATGCTACGTATTTATGACAAAATTGCTTTGAATGAAGCAAATTCTCATTGCGAGTGTATATTTTTTCTAATTCTGTATTCAACTTTTATTTGATGACCAATAATTATGCAAACAAACATACTGCTGGTATATTCCTTGTATTATGCGATGAGAATTTCTTTCTTCTTTTTTTTCTTCGAGAATGTATCATCCTCGTGAATGGTGTATAATTCAGGTTGATCTCTTGTCAGCATCATGATGAAATGCATGTTACAAAAGTGAACCCAGATGTGAATTATGAAAGTGACTGGTAAATATTAAAAGTCATGACGCAGATTTATATAAAAAGAAAGATCGTCTGTGTATTATAATTGTCTTCAATTTATTATGATAAGGGTGGTGATGATGGTGGTGATAATGAAGAGTAGGAGGTAAAGAAGGGTGATGATGGTAATGGTGATGATGATGGCGATGATGCTGGCGACAATGATAATGGTGATGATGATGCTGATGATGATAATAATGGTGGGGGTGATGATGATAATGAGGATCATGAGGGTGGTGATGATGATAATAACAATGGAAATGGTGATGATGATAGTAATGATGGTGATGAGAAGGAGGAAGGGTTAATTAAGGTGATAAACGGACCAATGATGATGATAAAAAAATGTATACATTTCTATACATGGTGATCAACTCTTAATTAGCTTCTTGCTTTTGAATGAAACAAAAAGTCTGGCACAGTAGCTGCCAGACTTCTTCTAATTTGTACAATCTGTCTAGGAAATAATACAAAAACAAAACATTGGTACACTTTTCCTTTGATGACCTTTAATTTAATCATTCAAAAGCAAGTTTGGGACATAATTTATACACCATGAATTCAGACTGGCAGAATTTAAGCAAAATAACTCTTAAGATATATCAAAGCTAGGAGAGGAGAAATGTGCCGAGGATGAGAAAGGAAAATGGAGAAAGAGCCAGATGGAGAGAGATTTGAAAAGGAGAAACAAACTACAAGAAAAAAAAAATCTTCGTATATGACATGTTTACATGTTTATTTACAACCTTGTTCATTATCAAGAGGATAAATTTGCTTCCTTTTTCCATGCAGTCTGAGCAAAAATTAGACAAAACTAGTCATGACACTGGTCATATGTTATAACACTCCATGCTAATCAAGCTATGAAACTTGACATGAGTTATCAATGTGCGCATAATGTAAGGTTTTCCTGAACTTGAAGTATAACTTGAAGTATGTGTTTCTACTGCACAATATGAACTGCAATACTTGTAATATATCAAGGATTCTTTTAAGAGAACATGTCCCTTTCACAAATTGTAAGCTTCCATTTTATAACTGTTCACATGACCGCTCTCTACCAATCATATTTTGATTAGAAACCACGTCACCATTTATAAAAGGGAATACTAGAATATTATGCAGGGACCTGTAAATATTATTATACAATTTACAGATCCAGGTCTCTGGTAAAGATGTTCTCTTTTCAATCCCAGTCTAGACTTAGTCCATAAACATGACCTGTGCCCTGTTTCATAGAACATGTTATCAATAACAAATTACAATAACTGTTATAAGCTACTGAAATCGTGGCGTTTGATTGGCTGAGATAAAATTTGTATTAGAAAAAGTTTAGCATTTGTTATTGATAACAAGTTTAATGAAACAGGCCCCTGGTTCACTCTGGTCCACGTTGCTCTCTTTTCAATCCCAGTCTAGACTTAGTCTTAGATCATGATCTGGTCCACCCTGGTTTCGGGTCTGGTCCACAATGCTGGGATGGTTTAGACTGCAGTCCATCCTCCATCTAGGACCAATGATGATCCAGTCATATTATCACAAGCTGATGAACAGATGAAATTCACTGCTTCACCGACCTGCTCCATCGTGGTACATTCTTTAGATGGGTGCTTCTCCAACAGAACCTCCTGCAAAAATAAAATAATAATCTTCATTGATTGATTGATTGAAGGATTTTATTAATAATTATCCATTCTCGCAGTCCAAAGACTGAATTGCCATGGTTACAACAGTTTACAATGTATATACATGATAAAAGCAATTATACAATAATATATTAAAACAGTCTAGGCAATCAACATTAAAATTCATCCATCCTCCATCAATCTCGATAGACTCCAACAAGCCTCTACAACAGTTTTTGAGCAATACTATATCAGTTGTAATTCATAACAAACTTAATACCAGAGGGTGGAATTTGTCAACAGGGAGAGTAAGATCACTTGAACATTGGTGAAAGGCAAAAGACAAGTAGTGATTTTGTTGATCACCTTTCGGGAACTTATGGAACGTAGCGGGCGACATAACAAAATAGCTTGACATGTAGATTGAGAACTTAGTTCGATTTTTCTGCTTGAGAATTTTAGTACAGGTTTACAGGCAATTTTAACTTTTTTGCATTCAATTTCATACCTTTTCCATCCCGAAACGTTCGAACCTTGCGCGTCTTCAATTGCATGAATCGTTTTCGTCATGTTGCAATTGATTTCGTCAAATTCGTCATTTGTTTGTCATACATGTTATAAGGTCTGCATTGTCTGTGCGTCGAATTTGAATGAAACTCTCTTGAAATTGATTGCCCATAGACGAATTTGATCATTAGGCCTACACAAAAAAGATTTTGTATTGCCCTCTAGGTGCCAGCACCTGGGTCGGTTGGTCGATTTTTTTTTTCTGTCCCCTCTTTTGGCTGATATTTTTCAGTTTTTAATGCTTTAATACATATTATTTTATTCATTAAACATATTTTTTCGAAAAATGGTTTCGGAACAAAAGCTTAATAAAATGCCGACCGTAGATTTTAATATTTTGGGTTGGTCGCAAAGAGCAATACAACAACTTTATTTGTTAAGGCTTACATTCGGCAGCGAATTTTGGATTGCCAATTTTCCCTATTAAGCAACACAACAACTTTTGTTAAAGCCTTACGAGTTCGAATAAAGTCTGACGACGATGAATGGCCAAGTGTTGAAGTTGATTGACCATTGACTAACTTGAATGACAAATGATTAAATCAACTTTGGCATTTACATGATCCTGGATACCTAGGACGAAATCGAAGCGCACAAAAAGGAATTTGAACGAAAAAAGTATTAAAATGGACGGAAAATCCTTTAATTTTCAATGATAAGAAAACTAACGATTGAAAATCATGGTCTCTGAATTGGAATATTGGATTGTCAAAATTAAGTGTACTTAGTCTATTTTATTCATTAACCAAGTCAATTCCCCCATTTCACTGTTACTTATGAAGTTGGAATGAAAATGTCCTTACCTCTTTTCATAAAATGATTGTGACAATATAATTTATTTTGTATATTAATAAAGTTTAGTCCTGAGAAGATATTGTCTGTCAAGAATATATTGTATTGTCACAAATTCACAATCATTTTATAAAAAAGAGATAAGGACATAATGATTGCAGCTTTGTGGGCATTAATGTATTTACAAAATGTTAATATTCAATGTTCCCTATTCATGATTTTTTTTCTGATCGGATAAACATTTTAATGGCGGATATAATCATATTTCCAACAATTCTTATCGAGAAAGTCTAAGCTAGCTGTAATTTGAATTCGTACCTTTGCGTCTTGCCAAGAAATCCCTCTCTGCTCTGATATTTCGTCTACTTGCTTTTCAAACACTGTATAAAATGAAAAGAACAATACATAAAACAGTTTTGAGATAGAAATTTAGAAATGCAGACACAAAATCCCAAGTGGATCACATCTGCAAGTCTTATTCAAAATTCTATCATTTTATATTTGTGTACCTGTGGAAAATGATTTTAATTTTATTAGAAATCAATGCATGTTACAAAATCTATATTATTTTGCCTCGTGCTAATTAATTTTTCTTGCTCCTGAAGATTATTTCAAATCTCTTACGTTCTGTTGAGACCCATCCGGGACATATAGCATTGCACGTGACCCCTGACCTTGCCGTTTCCAAGGCAACCACCTGAAATTAAAAGATAAGGATGAATCACGTATCAAGACAAAAGTCAAGAAACAAAATGCCTTTAAAGGTAATATGTTCCATTTGCAGGCCAAAAATTGGAAAGGTTAAATTCCAACGGCATTTGAAAGATAATACTAATTTAGAACTTCCCTAAAAAGGGGGCTTGAAATTTTCTTTAAGTGAGAAAATAACGACTATTAGGTGTCGAATCGACTTAGGTGCTATAGAGCCAGTGAGTAATAGTCTGATTTTCAGACAATTGTACCGAATGGTCGTACGTTTTATGCTGCGCGAAGATTCAATCAGTTTAATTTTGGCCATTACAAGAAGTGGGTTATGTAGACAAATGCTCATGTACCCTTTACAGCTCATTTTATGTATGTTATTACCAAAGAAGAAAAAAAACCAGTCTGTCACTCAAAAGTGTCAGACAGTGACGTCTAGCAAATAAACGGGTTTCCTTGCATAATTTGAATATTAAGACACTGTTAACGTTTAAATTTCACAGATAGGACATACATGACATATTCATAATTCCTGCAAAGTTCTACAGAATTTGATGTTGGCTGCAAAAGGGACATAGTATCTTTTAAGTCCATTTGCCTATCGCTATTTGTTAATGACTGTAAGGACTTTGCAAAGTTCAAGCTAGGTCAACTTGAATAGTCTTGTCTAGAGTACCTACATCTTTATGTAGGTACTCTAGTCTTGTCTATCATTTTAATGACGTATTACGTGATCCGAACATGATCTTTTTATTAGGCAATACATCGGTGTATTGAAATAGCTATTGAGTTGATTTCTTGAAAGTGTTTGCGATCGTGATTGATATACATGTATTATTTGTTTTGTTATAGTGTTATCGTCCAGTCGTTAACCTCTGTACCGATTATATCTTCCATCATCACACACACAAATACTATTCCAGTCGTCTGTACCGAAAAGTATTTTTCTCTCTCAGTTTTCCCCCTTTTTTAAATATTTCTTTCTCTACATCCACCATAAAGATATATTAGGCAAGCCCATCGCTCTCGTCGAGATCGAATCAAGGGTATTGCGATTGTTATGAATATCAAATGAAAATATTCCAAATAGGTTTTGATTATTTGTTCTTATTTGGGTGCAAGGGTTCTAACCGTTTCATTACCTTTGTAAGTCCTTGGATACCGTGTTTAGCTGTGACGTAAGCTGATTTGTTGATAGAAGCCACGTGACCATGAACGGATGAAATATTGATGATACGACCCCATCCTAGGAATAATAATAATCATTTGAATGACTGCAATTTATTTATGTAAAGAGGAATGAAGATGTTTTGGTAACGTTCTCTCTCTCTCTCTCTCTCTCTCCTCTCTCTCTCTCTCTCTCTCTCTCTCTATCAGCAATACTTTTCTAAGCAGCCCTCGGACCTCCGGACCGTGTTAATTATCTTTCCTTGTGAAATAAGGCCATTTGAGAAGAAAATCATGTTTAGCGTCCCCGTCCGTTTCCTTTAAGGTGGCCGCCTCCTTCTTCTTTTTTAAAATATTTTTTTATATAATTTTTATATATTTTTTTTTTGATGAAAACATGCAAAACAAACTGCTAAAATGATGTATTTCGGTTTCAACAAAAGAAAAAAGATGCCGGCGGCCATCTTGAAAAATAACCCGACTGTCAGGGAAAATGTGGTCTACTGAGCGGCCATTTTTGGGAGAGAAAAAAGGGCCTCCTCTTTCCCATTTTTCAGAAAATGAAAGATAGAGAGAGAAAAAACAAAGGGAAAAGTTTACCTTTCGTCCTCATACCCGGTAAAAGGTTTTGAGTGAGAAGAAACGGAGCGGTTAGCATCACTGATATCATGGAATTCCATTTATCGAGAGGGAAATCTTCCACTGGACTAATGAACTGGAAACCTTGAAAAAAGAACAATAAAAGTAAACTATATTCACAAATTGCCGAGTGGAAGAAATTGAAGGAATTGAGAATCCGGAAACCATGAACATTGTCAGTTTGTGTTCTTTCAGCCTATTATGCTTTCTTTCACTTCTACCTCCATTTCATTTTTTGTTTGATGTTCGCAACATCAATGACGCATATCGGATCACCCAAAAACATTTTTCGATAATCTCTTCCAACAACTTTCATTTAAGACTTATTATGTTGTCCCTACGTTACTAATTCATACAATGCGTGTAGTATAATCTTTGAAGAGCATTTTGGGGCAATCTATCTACTTATGTTGTATCTCACATCATTAACTTGTCCTTTATCTCCCCCCTCTCCCTCCCCCTTTTTGCCATTCCATTTGGGGAGGGGGGGGGTCACGCTTATGCCAAGCTATAATACTTAAATTTAACTCTGAATATGTTTGGATATATACCTCAACAATATAGCGAAATAAAACATGTATATATATCACCTGCATTGTTAACTAATATATCCACACCTCCTGGGTAGTGAGATCGTACCTGGTTACATATACCAATCACATCGTCCTCTCGAGATAGATCGCCTCCTATGTAGGTAACTGGAACATTGTAATTACTGTCAAGATAAAACAGTCTGTATATAGTAGGATTGTTCGTTTTTCACAAACTTCTTTGATTTGATTTGATGTATTTAATTCTGTTTAATTTTCTTTTTCTTTTGCAGTTTTACAAATATATAACTAACAAATCATTGCAAAGTTTACACATGAAAAAAAAAGAGTATATAATGAATTAAGGCTGGCTGTAACTAATCGAAAACAGGACGGTTGAAAGCCCCTATAGAGGGGTAACAGAACGAGAAAAAGGGGGGGGGGGATGAAAGAAGGGTGTACATCAAGATTCACAGATGTATGTGGTAGTTGGAATTTCAATTTGATATATGAAGATGAAAAAGAAGATGCACATTGAATTGGGTTGCCAACTTGGGATATAAATATAGAATGAGAAGACTCGCGAGGTTGCATTGGATACTTTAAGACCGACATCTTTTGTAACATGCTCTAAAACTATACGATTTAATTTTTTTCTTCTGAAAAAGTCAAGAGGCAGTATGACCCCCCCCCCCCTTCATTGTGGATGCATGATCAATATATTAAAGTGACCAATTTTCAATTATCGTGCTGGACTGTTTTGCAAGATAGTAGAAGAACATTTATGGAGGCAATACCTTTCAATCTCTGTCTTGTGTTTGTGTATCAGTTGATCATTACCAAACCCCGTAATGAGAATGGAACGGCCTTTGCTTGCCAGTGCTCGTGCGATACCTAGGCCTATACCACTTGTAGAACCGGTGATTAGTGCTACCTGTGCCATTCTGAAATTAGAAAATGATATTGAAGGCGATTAGAAAATAGAGGTATAGCCCCCCCCCCCCCCCCCCCCCCACCTCCTACTGTTATGTTTTTCAATTGAGGAAAAATCACCATGAAGCTAAAGAATAATTAAAAAAAATACCTTTTACTGTCAAGAGGGGTAAGGAAAAAAATGAAATAAATAATCGTGAGAGGGAGATAGGTAGATAGAGAGAGAGAGAGAGAGAGAGAGAGAGAGAGAGAACGAGATATATATATATATAGAGAGAGAGAGAGAGAGAGAGAGAGAGAGAAGGGGGGGGGGGGGTAGCTGCGTCATGGGAAGGGGTTATCCCGGTTCAAGCGGCTCCAAAATGATCTGACTTTTTATTAATCATATACCTGCAGTCGGTTGAAAGACAAAAGTCGGCGGGCAACTTTCCCAACAATTAACACCGTAATTACAGTATAACCCCCCCCCCCCCCCCCACCCCCCCCCAAAAAAAAATGTTGTATTGCCCCTTGCGACCGACCAACAAATCTTGAAATCTACGGTCGGCTTTAAAAAACGGTCGGCTTTCTGTTTTTAAGAAGAAAAAAATATTAATAGCATTCAAAACTGAGTAATATCGGCCCAAAGAGGAAGTAAAAAAAAAAGAAAGAAGATTTCCGACCGACCGATCCATGTTTTGGCAGCTAAAGGGCATTACAACATTTGTCTAACCTCATGGACAACCCCCCCCCCCCCTGCAGACATACCCCATATGTATATTGTCCTCTCTGCTTTTGACCCACTGATTAGGGGATGAGTAATGATATGATAACGGATGGATCTTAATTATTAGCACTTGGTACAAAATCATGCAAATCAAAGAGATCATGAATGAAATATAAGAGCATTTTGTCAAAAGAAGTGCAGATTATAATAGAGAACACAATCATACTTACATTCAAAGTTTGTGCTAAGCAGCGACATATATGATACGCCTATGAACTTACTTCCAGATTAAACTTATACCCGAAGACTGAAGTCACATGAGAGATAATTCTAGAGCTTACAGTACATACAATAAATTCTGTAGTTGCGAACGCCATGCATACCAACGAACCCAGGTGTGACTAAGTATTCTCTATACAGTGCTAAACTTCGACTTCACATCACACATGTTATAGCTAGAGTGTTCATTGCAAGCACTATACAGTCATATACAGGCGCGCCGGAAGCAGTTTGGGATTGGGGGGGCAAACATTCCAGGGGGCTCACCTTCCGAGGGCAGTGACGTAATGAGAAAAAACGTTCGGAAGGGGGGGGGGGGGGGCAGACGAAAAATCTGCATCACCACCAGTCTTACACGTACATGCAGGTCCCGCGGAACGTTTTTCAAAGTGAAGTATTAACGATCAGGTAGAGCGTAAATTGGCGTGGGGTCCAGCCTCGGCAGGGTGTCAAGGGGCTGAGCCCCCGGAAGCTCAGGGATTTTAGGTATTTAATTACGGTTAGATGAGCATCCAGGGGCCTCTTTAAGGCCATTGACGTGTTCCAGAGGGGGGGGGGGGAGCCCCCAGAAGCTCAGAGGTTTTAATATTTGACTACGGTCAGATGAGCAACCAGGGGCCGCCCAAGGGCACTTGGTGGGGTCCAGGGGGCAGGGGGCCCGCGTTATTTTTTTATGCGGCACAGATTGGGGCTTTTTTTAAAAAGGGGTCTTGATTTACAGACTAATACTGGTCGTGTGCGTACTAGACAGTATAAGTAGTAGAGGTCTGTTTTAATAGTGTTACATGTAATCCACTACCGCATGGAAAATCATTACATCAACAATTAAAATCAAATTGGAAATCTGAAGAGGAGGCAGCACGTCAATAAGGAGAACATCACAATAATTAGTCAATAAAACTTAACTAACTTAAACGAAGAGGAATGTTATCTAAACACATAGTTCGCGATGGATCCGATGGATATACAAACTTCTTCGCAGCGCTAATGCGCTAGCGAACATGACTAGTCTCACGTACGTGCAGACACTATTCAGAAGGGAAAGAACGTACTTCCCATAGGTTTAACACGCGCCATGCCCCAATCTGTGCCGCATAAAAAAATAACGCCCCCCGGAAGCTCAGGGGTTTTAGGTATTGAATAATGGTCAGATGAGCATCCAGGGGCCCGCCTTATAGGGCCCTTGGTGGGGTCCAGGGGGCAGAGCCCCCGGAAGCTCAGGGGTTTTAGGTATTTAATAATGGTCAGATGAGCATCCAGGGGCCCGCCTTATAGGGCCCTTGGTGGGGTCCAGGGGGCAGAGCCCCCAGAAGCTCAGGGGTTTTAGGTATTTAACTACGGTCAGATGAGCAACCAGGGGCCGCCCTAGGGCACTTGGTGGGGTCCAGGGGGCAGGGCCCCCGGAAGCTCAGGGGTTTTAGGTATTTAATTACGGTCAGATGAGCATCCAGGGGCCCGCCTTAGAGCCCTTGGTGGGGTCCAGGGGGCAGAGCCCCCGGAAGCTCAGGGGTTTTAGGTATTTAATCACGGTCAGATGAGCATCCCCCGGAAGCTCAGGGGTTTTAGGTATTTAATTACGGTCAGATGAGCATCCAGGGGCCCGCCTTAGGGCCCTTGGTGGGGTCCGGGGGCGGAGCACCCGTAAGCACTGGGGTTTTAGGCATTTAATTACGGTCAGATGAGCATTTTTTATGCCTTATTTGTGACATTGGCAGGTCACTTATTTTTTCTCTCCGTCTTTCTTTCTTTTTCTCTTTAACATACTTTTTCAAAAAGTGAGGGGGGAGGGGCTCGAGCCCAGCCACTTTGCAGACCATGTCATAAAGGCTTCTAAATAAGCGTATTTTTCGCCCGACTGTAATTTGGGAATTTCTTATTTTCCAACAAACGCATAAAAAGGTATGACTTTAAAAAAAATGGAGAAAAAATACCGGAAAATCATGTCATAATAGCAACATGTGTAAATCACTGGTATCGTATAGATATACCCCCCCCCCCCATCAGTACGCCAGCGTTCAGGGGCTCATGTCTTCTCACCCCTATAACAAAACCAAAAAAACAGACACGTTTTCCCATTCTCGCACAATATGTCCACGATATGCGCGTATCGCTATTATAAACCGTATAGGTAGCATGCGCAATGTTTATAAAAATTTAATTCCTGTGAACTTTCCTTTTCTTTGAATGGAATGGTATATGTGCTTTAATTCAGGTTTTTATTATTGTTATGTTCTTTTGGGTTAAAAATACAAACCATGTTTATTCCTTTACTGCTTTTTTTTTTTTTTTTTTGGAGGGGGGGGGGGTTTTTTTGGGGGGGGGGCAAAAATGCGTTTTGCCCCCCCACTTTTTTGACTGGGGGGGCAACTGCCCCCCCTGCCCCCCCACTTCCGGCGCCTAAGGTCATATATATTATTACATGTATTATATGACAGACAAAGTTGACCTAGCTAGATAGCTAGAATAGACGGCGTCTATATAGCATTTAACCAGGAACTTGACCTTTGCATACTGCAAAACAGCGACACACACGCGATGTACCGATTACACGTATGATAAAGATGGTTCTTTACAAGTTCAAGTTTCAAGTTTATTTATTTCACTTTATCAAAGACAACATAATGGAACATTATGAACATGGTAATTATTATAACTAAACATACAATATAGAAAACATAATGTACATAGTAATAGTTATAACAGAGGATACAATCATATAAATCAATCAATAAAGTGGGGGATCAACTAAAAAGCAAAGCTTGTATTATGTAGGTCCCAGTTAATAGGTACATATATAAATTAGGGTATCTGAATTAACATATTTTTAAAAGCATATGATTACAAGAGGGTTATCTTTAAGTGACACATATAAACAGTTGATAAAAAAGGGAAGGTTCTGTGCTTTCTTCAGCATATATATATATACCTTCAAGAAAAGGATCAGTGCTTATTTTAGCACTACTTGTGTGGGGAGAAAGAATAATTGCAAGGAAAACAATTCAGTAAGGAGTTAGATGATTAACGAGAATGGAAAGTAAGAACAACAAAAAAAAAACGAAAGAAGAAGACAAAACAAAAAGGCAATACAAAAGAAATAAAATAGAAAGACAAGTGAGAACGCTGTGAACAAGCGGGAAAGAAAAGAAAAAGGGAGAGAGTTAGAGGGAGGGGCAGAGATATCAGGGAAGGATTACAGGGGCGAAAAGGTGCAGGGGCCACAGGTAAATGCCCCCCCCCCATCAAATAGATAATATCAGATAGATATTATGTATACAAATAAATATTTATATAAATTAATTGTGAACAATTATGAAAAAAGGCGATAAAAGAGATAAAGGGAAGGGGGGAGATGGAAGAGGTCTGGACCACCTCGATCCTGCACCATCCCCTATAAATCGGTAGCATATTGGATAAATCCGCAATTCATTTTAAAGACCAGTGCCCGGCCCTCCCCATCGATCACAATCACACAAAATAATACATAATATAGAGAGAGAGAGAGAGAGAGAGAGAGAGAGACTCAGAGAGAAAGAGAGAGAGAGAGAGAGAGAGTAATACATACAAGAAGAAGACCTACATTACAAAGATCTGACTTTCTCATAATCTTCCTTCTTTCTAAATAAATGTATAATTGTACATGGTAAACAAAAAGAAGAATCTGGCAGGCAAGATTTTTTACAAAATGTTTCCTTTTTTATTTTTGGCCACAAAAATGATGCACCCCTTTAAAAGGAGCAAGAAACTGTCATATCAAAGGACATAATGTACATAATACATGAACAGTTCACCGAAATGTGTCCAAGGTTAAACATGAAGCATTAAATATTTGTACAGAAATACTACCAACAGAAAGATAACCACCCTCGAGTGCATGTGTACTTAATAATCTTAATTCCTCATTCTTGTGCATTGTGAAAAAAATATGTAGCTTCAGAAAGTATCAAGGGAAATGAATGGTTTTGGGTGTGTTTAATTGTGAAAAATATTAATTCTATAAACATATTAAGCTTTATTGCTTTACAGAATGATTCACAATTTGTGCATGTGGTTGTTTTATTATGCAATGCTTATCTTTCTAAAAGGAAACATGTATATAACAGCCATTAACCTCCAAAGAACTGGCGGCACGAGGCATTGAATCTTGATATTAGCATTGCCCATGACTTGACCTATATTTACAGGTTTAGTTGCATCTACAAAACACAGCTCTGACAACCAAAAAATTAACCCAATCATCTAAAAGTATCCTAGATCCATAATACTGAACTACTTCTACAAAGTTTGAATGAAATGTTGAAATAAACAATTTATAACAAGAAGCCTTCTTTAATGAGAAGTACTTTTGAGAACAATATCAATGCTAATACATGAAGAAAGCAGTACCGGTATGTCATGATGACTTTTAAAAACTTGTGGAGAAATGTCATGACATTGATATGATATTAAGCCCTTTATAAAGGAAAAGTCCAAGTGAATGAAACTTGTTGAAAGAGGTATAATATTTTCCCATACATATCAAAATATATGTGTACTTGTGCCAAATAATCCATTCATGATTTCAAATTACTTTAAATGTTTAGTTTAAATATCTCAAAGAAATGCCATCAAGGCCTGTGCACCACTCTGGATCTCTGTCAACACCAGCGCTCACTCTGGCATGGCAAATTTTAAGAGAAAATAGGTTGTAAGAAAGAAATATAGATACTGATATCTTTGACATTCAATTCTTTTTATGTGTGCAGAATATAAACATCAAACCAGCCATAATGCATCTATCAAAAGCATCATAATTCATAAATACATTTTTTTAAAGTCAGTTTGTAGATAGTGTTTGCATGTACTTGGCAGGACGAAGATACAGAGAGAGAGAGAGAGAGAGAGAGAGAGAGAAAGAGAGAGAGAAAGAGAGAGAGAGAAAGAGAGAGAGAAAGAGAGAGAGAAAGAGAGAGAGAAAGAGAGAGAGAGAGAGATTGATGGGGGAGAGTGAATGGGAGCCAAACAAAGCTGAATAAAAATAATCATATAAATGGATCATTATGAGAATGTCTTGATAAAGATTTTGATCAGGAACCATCAAGCAAATCCAAAGTCAACTACAAACAGAAACAAAGTGTACATAAAGATATGACTGTTAATTTTACTGGTATGCAATATGTGACTGAAGAATAAAACATAACCATTCTCTTGACTTGTTCAAAAAATTCAAGATGGCTACTTTAACTCTGGAACTACAGGTGCACTTTAATATACACACACACCCTCACCCCAATATGGAATGGGAATCATCGCCCCAAACCTTTCAGAAAGCTCTATCACTGTGCATGAATTTTAACATAAAGATTCACTGTAATGACTTGTCTTTCAAAAAAAAAAAATTAATTCTTTGATATCAAATGGTATAATGGTGCCCTATGAAATGAATACAAACTCCTCATAAAGTAAATACGCCCATCACAGTGCCAACTTCAAGCAAGAATATACACATAAAGCAAACTTCAGTACTAACCTAACATCTACATCCTACAATATATACTGCAGCAATAGTTTTATAAATCACTAACATAAATAACCCAGATACATACACTGTACATAAAGGATTTTGGTATTTGATACCTTTATAACACCTACAAAATGACAATACACACATGGATAGTATACATACAACTAAGAAAATGGAAAGGATTTACAAAGCTGGAGACACTAAGGTATACATGTATTGATATGAAAAACGGAAAAGAAGAGCAATATTTGCGAAGAAATAACCCAATCATGTAACAGCCGGTAGGTCATGGTATGCTATCATTATGGGCCAAAAAGTTCATTATTCTGGCATTTTTTTATAATGATTTTAAAGGGGATGTAGCATGACGAGACTACGTGTCTTTCCGGTGGCCTGACTCTTGGCCAATCGGGTATAATACGACTATGGACAACGCGACCGCAGTATTCATGTGTGTGCAAGTTTATTGAAACCGAAGCGTGAGGGGAACTTTGGTCTTTTTCGTGAATGCTAGCACGCGCTGACCGTTAATCAAGTCCATTCGTTTACGTGTAGTTGTCCAGAAGTCGTAGATGGCGTTAACTAGTATTAGCCATGCTATATCCCCTTTAACAAAATCTGAAAGAGCACCTACAGGCACGAAGTCACGGATTAAAGTTGTTTGCTGTCGATTTCCTATCTAAAGAGGTACAGATGTAGTGCCATCAAAAAGACAAGGCCTCAAGGAGTCTTTTAACTTAGATACTTAGATGCATTAAAAAGCTATAGTAATTACATGTAGTTCGAAGAAGAAGTTGTTAAATGTAAGGCAAATAAAAGAGGCAAATAACACTAAATGTGAGCCATGCTAAAGGTAATAGGCATTTGCTTTAAAGGAATTTAAGGGAAGATATTTGAGAAAGATAAATGTTTGTGATCATTATTCTGGTGAATTAACCCCCTCCCTCAAAAAATAAAATGATAATTTCAACAACAAAAATGCATTTTTAAAGGGTACAAATATGGCTCATAATACATGTAGCATTTGATACTGGTCTTGAAACAAAATAGCACAGCGTGAAATGAAACATTTCTACAGACATTCTTTTCAGTTCTTTGGTCTCTAGATCTACATGATTTCCTACAAACCTGATTATTTCATGTACCGGTTTGCTTCTTCTTCCAGACCCAAATATAAATTTACAATCGCTATTTTTGCCCTTGATAAGAATCCCACTACAGAATTTGACATTTAATACCGTTTGACAACTTGATCTCTTCTTACATGGGGTTTCTAGAATCGACCTTCTCCCCCTCACTTCTCATATGCCATGATATACCCTCATGATCTCATAGACCATTCCATCATGATCTCAAACACCATTCATTCCTTCATACCCATAACAGTAACATGATGGATCATTCCATTTTCCAAACGGGTGAGGCTGTTATTTGTCCTTCAAGGTATTGATCTTATTGATCCGGAGTTTCTAGAATCGACCTTCTCCCCCTCACTTCTCATATGCCATGATATACCCTCATAGACCATTCCATCATGATCTCAAAGACCATGCCATCATACCCATAACACTAACAAGAGGGATCATTCCATTATCCAAATGGGTGAGGCTGTTATTTGTCCTTCAAGGTATTGATCTTATTGATAATCTTGAGGGCAGGGCCAAGCTTCATGCTCAAGGCTGTCATCAAATGATCCTCCTTGAGAAGCATCAAAGCCTGTCCATCAATCTCCTGCGATTGGAACTCATCGGCGTAACCAGCACATCCCGGCAACGAACGAATAAACATGGCCACGTTCTCCACCGACCACGAGCTGGGGTTGCGTCCCACGCCCGGGGGTAGATCGTCGCTCTCGTCCGAGTACTGGAAGCTCTGTTCGCTGCGGCTTGGGGAGGAGAGAACCACGTTGGGAGATGGAGATGAGGGGTGTTCCATGTCTTCTGATGGGGCGGAGCTGGAGCTACTACTGCTGCTAGTCTCCTGGGGGAGCTCCTGGGATTGAGTGTCATGCTGCCCTCCCTTACTCTGAAAGTAGGCAAGAGGTGGCAATTTCAAGATTATAATAATAATGATATTAATATTGATAATGATAATGCTAATAATTAAAATGTTATATTGTTTTGGTAATTACTCTGGATACATGAACAAATATTGAATATAATATAATTGAATATAATCTATATAATGTGAATGTGAAAGTGCTATATGTTTATTCTTTCTATACTCGTTTTATGTTGTATGTTTCATGTCACATGTACACTTTTTTTTTTTTTCTGTGAATAATGCATTGTACACTGCAAAAGCAACAAATTTCCTTTCGGACAAATAAATTTGAATTGAATTGAATGTAGTTTGATGTTGGATAGTATACTTGAACATAAAAACAGAATTATTTTGTAAGGAAATGTTAAAAACATGTCCATGTTCCAAGGTACATTTTCAAAATGAAAATGAATGCTTAAAATTGTGCCCCTATCATTATAAAAATGATAATACCACCTTCACATTTCAGCTAATAAGATTATTTTAAAACTGGATGGATCTTCGACTGTGCGCAGTTGAAAATAATGCCTCCGCCATAGAGTTATTTTACAAACCAAAACAGAGGCAATTTTAGAATTCAAGTTTGATTGTTCTCAGGTTCTCAGAATATCGTGATTACAAGCTATATTTCTACATGTATGACCCCGATCTTTGACCTCTTGACTCTAAAATCTAATCAGTTCATGGGCTCTGCAAGATACATACATGTCTGAGTTTGATAGTAATCCATCCGTCTTTTCTATTGACAATGCATTCACAAGCTATTTTTTCATACAAAACGAGCCCCATGACCTTTGACCTCATGACCGCAAAATTTAATCAGTTCGTTGGCTCTACAAGTAACATACATGTACATGACCAAAGTTTGGCGGTAATCCATCAATCGATCCTTGAGATAACGCGATCAAGAGCTATTTTTGCATACATAATAAACCCTGTGACCTTTGACCTCATGACCCCAAGATCTTATCAGCTCATTGATTCTGCAAGAGACATACATGACCCAAGTTTGGCGGAAATCCATTATTCGGTTCTTGAGATAACGCAATCACAAGCTAATTTTTGGATACATGAGCCCTGTGACCTTTGACCCCCGTGACACCAAAATCTAATCAGTTCATTGGCTTTGCAAGATACATACATGACTTAAGTTTGGCAAAAATCCATCAATCGGTTCTTGATACAAGAACCGGACGTACGTACGGATGGACGGAAGGACAACCCGAAAACATAATGCCTCCGGTTACTTTGTAGCGGTGGCATAAAAATGTCTAAGCGCTTATTTTATTCATTTTCCAAACCTTTCTGTCTGTAATACATTGGATTTTTGTTTTACACATCTACACAAATGTCATTTTTTACATTGTTTGTTTTATTTGTCTGGTTGTAGAAACTAATTATATAGACACTGGGCTACATGTACGCTACATGTAAGCATGGTTACAATTCATCTGCTTTTATGAATACAGCTAGGATATCGACATGATATCTATTCTTTTCTTACCCAAGGTTGTGCCACATTATAAGTGAGTCTCCCATGCTTCCCTCTCTGTCCTTTCAGTGGCTTAGCCTTGAGTTGAAGTTTCAGCCTATGCTTGGTTTTCTCAGGTTTCTCAGGCTGTCTCGGTGAAAACAGACCCAGTCTCTTGGAGCAGCCGACATTGTAACGCTTGGCACAGGCCATCGAGCAGAACCGCTTGGAGCGCTTGAACTTGCGAGGGGAGTCCACCTTGCCACAGAACTCGCACCGCAGCATGACACCTTCCACCAGGGGCTCCGGAGCTGAGGGAAATAGTAGAATGGTTTTATTAGATCAACTGTATAATGGTAGCCTGAAAGCTAAATTACATTGCAAGTTTTACAAGCTCAGTTTTAAAAAGCATTTCAACAAACCTTAGATAAATAGACAAGTAAAATTATTACACAGTAAAATAGATCACAACTTATTACATATTTCATACTTGCAAACATGTTGAAGATACAAACAGAATAGATTCATTGTTATAAATATTTTTGTTATTATTGTTAAGTGAGGAATATTCATATTTTAAATAGGAATTGAGGCATATTAATTGAGTTTATGACAAGTACACAGTAAGGGAGAATAATTGAGAGAAAATGATTTTATAATAATACAAACTTTAAATACTCAAAGACAGTATGCATGCATTTTCGGATATAAGGAAATTAATTTTCATTATTCCTATTTTGCTCATTAATTCTATAAAATACTGTATACATTTAACAAAATCGAAAAAGAATTTACATATGCAGTAGCATAAAATAATTATTTGTTTACAATCCTCCACCCGTCTTTATTAAGCATGTTATTGTAAGCATTCTAATCACACACAGAGAGTACATCTATAACTGTAAATAGAAAATATGAACGATCAAATCCAACAGTCTATCATGCCATCCCAGAATAAATAGATTTATAAAGCAGTTTATGTGACAAGAAACAGTTTGGGGCTGAACATTTTACCAATGTCTAATTTACATATTTTGTGACTATCATGTACAGGTAGGGCATGTACCCCTTCACACTCTCAAATAGCTTTACAATTCTTACCAGGTCTCTTTAGTTTCTGCTGCTGCTGCTGCCTGATGGTCTTGTAGGTTGTGTTTGCTTCTGAGACGATACCAGATGTGACCTGAAGGTGAATATACATGTGTTTATAAAATGGGTTCAAGAATGTAGCCAATGAGAACCATCAAAATGGATCACATGTGCGTGCATTAATTTTTACCATATGCACCGGGAGTGCATTTTGTTGATAACAACTGTCAATTTTTTTACTTTATATTCATATTGTAGACCCATCTTTTAAAACAAATAATACATGTTTTTAGCTCGTGCATTTGTGATATACAGTGTATGCTGCACATGGTTAAGACACAATGAGACGGACAATGAACTCGACATGTCTTCTTCATTATCCTACTGTGACTTAACCTGCGTCCAGTGCATATTCACTAATGCACTCACAAACAAGTATTATTTGTATAATATTGTGCATATTGATAAGATACTGTGTTTGACACAAATTGCACACAATACCAAAGACAATTTTTTTTTGTAAATGACCCTTTGTTAATACAATATACCAACACCTGAATCAGAGGAGTAATTTAAACTGACAAAATTGAGAAACTTACACACAAACAGCTATCTACATCGACTAATGAAGCTTCACATTTAAGCATGTTCAATAGTTCGAGGTCCAGACATAAGCTCTTCAATTTAAAATAATTTGCATTTCTCTTTGAATTCCGCATAAATTGCTATATCAGTCCTTGAGAGAGAGAGACTAGTTATTAATTTCCATTCTTCATAGAATATTTGAAACAACATAAAAATTTTAGCAAGTTTTAAATTTTAATAATGTACATTATATACCTCACTTAAGAAATCCAGCCATCTGATTGGTCGAAATTGCATCATAAACTTTAACTATTTCTGTAAAAAAAAAGATGTTGTATTGCCCTTTGCGACCGACCTTAAAACCTAAAAATTTAGGGTCTGCTTTTTAAAAAAGTTTTTTTTAAGTTTTTTTTTCTACCGTTTTTTAGAAAAAAATGTTTAATGAATATAAAAAAATACAAAAGCTGAGAAATATCAGCCTAAAGAGGGAGGGGAAAAATAAAATAATAATTTCCGAACGACTGACCCATGTTTGGCACCTTAAGGGCAATACCACATTTTTTTTGGTAAGGCCTAATCGTACATACCGGGAAAGGCTCCTGGGACTCCTCGATGATGAAGCCATCAATGACATGTGTCAGGACGTGGGGTTTAACAATGGCTCTAGGAATCTCCCGTTGTACTTCAGCTCTGTGCTCTATGATGTCTGGTCCACGATGCGCCACGATCTCCATATGTTCCTGTTGGTCACCTGAAGATCCAGGTACTGGTGCTAAATTGATTAATGACGAGGCCGTGGAGGTGACCCTGAAGCGACCGTTCTTAGAGGACGTGTCACTATCACTACCTTCAGACTTCATCAGGTGGTGTGATGGGGCAGGCAGGTGGGACTGTGTTGGAATGGTTGTAGAGCTGGGGCTTTGGATGGATTTCGCGGACATGTCAACAGGATGGATCTGAGGGGAGGATTTGGGAGAGGTCACCAGGTTCATTGGAGTAGCATCCGGAGTGGAGTGGAGGGACGAGTCGCTCACCGTGTGGTGGGAGTGAGCTTGAACAGGACTTGGCATAGGGCGAGGTGAGATACGTGGGAGGTGTGCTCTAATCTGAGCAGTGGTCGGTGGGCATGGTGGGGATGCTGCTGCTGTTGGGGACCCGCTACCGTCAAGAGCTGGTGACTGCTAGCAGCACCTCGTGCAGTAGACGGGAGTATCGGCTTGTGATGTGGGAGAGAGGAAGGGTTGGGCATTGAAGAAGGCATCCTAGCTCTGTTGGGGGAAACCAATCCATGTCTTACTTGGTTAATGATATGCCTAGGGCTCATTTGTCCATTTCCTGGTGACATTTTAGGTTGGGGCTGCACAACAAATTGTCCTGAACTTGTCATAGTAACACACTGCCCTTGTAAATGGTTTCCACCAAGTGCAGCTTGCAATCTTGGATTTCCTGGCTGATATGCCAATAAAGTCCCTCCCCGTGGAAAGAAAGGAGCTCTGATTTGTGCACCTGTTATCAAAACCGGTGAGTGAGATGCCGAGACTCCTCTACCTGCTCCTGAAATAGGTATCCTTATTCTAGGTTGTTGTCCTCTGATAGCATGAGGTGGACTTCTTGAAGGTGGTGTGTGCTCCCTTATGACTAGGCCACCTGGGGATCTAACACGGGCAAGGATTTGTGCCCTATTCTGAGGCATGCCCTGAGGATTGGATAGTCTGTTTGGTCCATTGGACAGCACTCTGACATTGTTCCCATGATTCCCTCGCCCTGATCCCCCGGGCCCTGGTCGAGGATGTCCTCTCACTGGTCTCACCTGGCTACTGATTGGTCGAACCTGCTGGACCATCCCAGCAGGGACCATCCCAGCAGTTGTTGGCATGACCTGACCGGTTGGAGTAGGTCTGATTGCAGCTGCAGTCATTCTTGGAGCAGTTGGTGTATTGGGACTCGACTGAGTGGTCTGTGCATGGCTGTACGACCTCACAAATATTGGAGTCCGGGTCGTCACAATGACCCTCTGACCTTCCGCGTCTTTAGGCCCGTCTTTCGGAGGTGCCCCTGGTGAGCTCCGAGGATTCGGCACAGGAGTCTTTGGAGATGGAGTCATCCTCTGAGGCACATGGATCCCTGCAGGTGAGGCCATAGGAGGCGGGCCAACCTTGTGGATAGGGGCAGACAGAGGACCTTCTATAAGTCCAGAGTTTATTGCAGGGGATGGTGCGACGGTTGTTGAAGGCACCTGAAGCACTGTGCCCATAGGTACTGCTGTAGCGGTTGGAATGTTTACTGCTGTCATGGCTACTGGTTGCGGAGGCTGAGAGACTGGACTGGGTGTCGATCCCCCAGAGGAAAGATCTTGTGGATTTGCTTGAAGATTAGCCATTCTTGATGCTTAGTGAAAGCTGTAAGAAAAGGAAATCAAACTTAGTTGCACCATTTAAACTGTCATTGTGTACAGTACAGCAATTCACAAAAAATAACTATGAAGGTAAAACATCTCAGAGTTTGTTAGCATGTTGGAGACGAGTTGTTAAAAACGAGAATCCATGTAAATAAAAACATCGCAACTGCATGAAATGCAAAGCAAATGTTTAAATTAAATCAATAACTATTGACTTACAGACCATTGTCTGTAAAGCAAATTATATACTCAAACTTTGTTTGGAACTGCCAAATGTCCAAGTCCAGGACTATGTGCAAATTTCATCAGACTGAAAAGTAACAATATGTCATTTTTGCAACAAAATATGGCCCATATTTTGTTGCAAAAATGACATTGTTACTTTTCAGTCTGATGAAATTTTTTGGTACACTCACTTTTTAGGATATCGCTTACAATGTCATAAACTAGGGAATAATAAGATTAAGAACTCCAAGTTCAATGTTAGCTGCATGGAAATAAATCTAGGGTTCCCCATCAGATATACCCATTCAGTTTTGCAATGTATAGTCAACAGCAGCTCCCTAGGGATCTTCAAGCAGGCGGGTGCAACAAAAGAGGCTCCTTTAAGCCTCTTCTGTTTTTTAGCCGCACATACATCAATTTGAAGTGAGATTTTTACTTGCACTATTCATCTGGGCACTCGACAAACACAAGTACGATAATATGCCAACGGCTGTCTGTACTTAACCGGAAGAAGATTGTTATCGTATGTGATTGTGAGTAATCATTATACTATCTATAGGAATGAAAAATACTTCCGGCTAACTTAAAGTAAAATATTAAAAGGAGTCACTTGTCAGTTTCCCTGTGCAGGAGGCCATAAATCGCTGACACCAGACTTGCTGGAAAAAAAATCATTAATGTATGTACTGTAGTTTGTACAGATCTGCACACAGCGAATCTGTAGGCCAATCAAGAAATACCCCCTCGTCTCTCGGAACTCTCCGGGTGAGAGAAAAGTGTGACTTTACCATGTGGGGGAATGGGTGGAAAACGCAGAACGTTAAGCCTGCTGGTCATAAAACTGAAGGCCATCTCTGGTGATTGATAGCACCTCTTATTGGGTAAACACCTGAACGGTGTTGAATTCCCCATAAGATGCTAACTACTATGTGTCTTTAAGGTTGAAGACATGTTATGAGGCATTGCATCTTTTCTTAAAAACATGAAGTGTAGTAATTATTTGATCAACATTTCCTGACACAGCACACAGACAGACACACTCGTCTCACTCTCACTCTCAGTTCAACTCAATCAATTTAAATTTGCATGTTGAGAAGCAAAACATATCATTATTGACCAAAACATGGTCTTTCCATTACTTTATTCAAATAAATCAGACAACACGTAGCGCAAATCTACCACATCCCCAAAGGCTATGTAAAAATCAATAACATTTTGGCATTGGGGAGCTGCCTGCCTACGTCGCAGCGTCAGCCATTTTAGCATATTGTCTTGAGTCAACGGGAAAGCTGGGGGAGGTAAGCCGAAGCCCCGGCTGGGAGACCATTGTGTGGCATGCAGAATGAAGCAATTGAGCAGTACAAAGTAAGCAGAGCCGCGATTAATAGTGCGAGCATCAGGCACATATACTTCCTAAATTATGCTATCCCAACGAATCTGATACACCACGAGTATACACTAGACATTAATATGTCATAAAACTTACCTAATTCACAGTATTATGAAGAAAGAAGTAGAATTATGATGCCATTCTGAACACCGATTTCAAGTCGTTATCGAAATACATGGAGGTCTATGTGTAGTAACCTTTCACCCTCGATAAATGTATACAGAGTCTCGTCGACGTCGAGTATACAGCTAGCGCGCTGCTAAACAGCAAGAGCGCCAACTGTCATCAAAAAGATGAGATATAATGGTTCTCAGGATCTCGGAGTTCTCATAGCCTACTCCTTCTCCATTCTTCTTGTTCTTTCTCTTTTAGTCCTCTTCTTCTTCTTTTTCTTCTTCCTCCTCCCCTTCTTCCGGCCTGCTCCTAAATTCGTCCTCCCTATCCTAATTATCATCATAACAATCATTAGCATCATCATCATCTCCTTATTCATCATCATCACCTTCATCATCATCATCATCATCATCGTCATCATCTTCTTCTTCATTTTCTTCTTCCTCTTCAATTCAAGAAAGCTACCTCACCAGGTCCCTGAAAAAGTAACATAAGGCCTATCAAGGAAGATAAAACGCATAGCAGGAAATGAAGGCTTTAGATATACAATCCTCAAAACGGTCGCAGTCTTAAATATACAATCCTCAAAACGTTCGCAGTTTGCTAAATACATCAACACAGTGAAACAAAAACTCATTTGTATAATTTACTGAGCAACAAAGTGAACTTAAAGTACACAGACATAATCTATAAATAAATTGTACATTTTTATTCAATCTATATTAAAAAAAGACTTTAACAAATCTGGAGGTTATTTTATTGGTATAAGGAACAAAGTCCTGCTCCTCCCTGCCCCCCCCCCCTCCCTCACACACTACTCATTACTGGATATCTGATAACATTCTCAACTCCAGAAATATAAACTAAATAAGGCTGCAAAATAGAGTTACACTTTAAAAAGCTCACTGTGGAGAGGAAAACAACTCTTAATTAACACTAAGCTGCTCCCACTTTAGAAAATGTAATCCCAGCTTTCCCATTTTAATTGCTATATTCTTTGCCTCATCCCTATAATTCAAAATGGTTTTTGTCATCGTTGCTAAAGTTGGTACTTGCCTCCCCCCCCCCCCCCAATCTTGACATAAATATATACTTCACCATGAAAATCATAGTTTTACAGATTTGTATTCTATAATTATGAACTACCTGTCAACCCAACAGATATATCTCGCCATTCTAAATCTTTAATTTCATCTATAACTCAAGAAGTTGTACTAAAGCCTGCCATAAAATAATATCCTTTCAACGCTCCCGCAAAATAGAAATAAAGGATTGTTTAATTTCTATTTCCTGTTTACAAAACGAACATAAATTATCACCAACATGCATTAATTTAAATTGAAATTCTCATTGTTTTCTAATGAGTATTATAATTCTTGGTCTAACAAATATATATATTTTTTATTCATTATCTATAAATAATCATAATTTTTTTGCCCATCCCTTTCTTACAAAATCATACGTTTGCTGTAGTAGGTCTACTTTTATAAAATAATTCTAAATTGTTCTTGCATCAGCGTCCAAAAGCTTTATTTTTATTACCTAAAATATAAAAATAATTATTTTAACTTATTACATCAACCTCGAGGAATATGTATTAACCCTGAATCATCTGTCCATAACCTTGGTATCGCATCATAAATAGCAAATTATTACCTTTCATACCGAGGTTCATAAAATATTAAACAGACTTAACATGAGCTTTCTCAATCGTGATTCAATTGAACAATCCCTCTTTCAAACAAGTATCAACAAAAGTTTATCCATGTATACTATATTCCGATTATCAAAAATAATTAGATTCACCGATGCACGTGCCCAAGCCCCCGCCCCCCCCCCCACCCCCGTCCCTCGCCGTTATGACATTGATTGATTGCCATTGTCATATGCAAATAAAAGCCAAAAAAATCAATACAAAAATGGATATGATTTGTATATGGTGCATGGCTGGGGAAATGCTATTCGTTTAAATAGCTCTCCATTGTTGACGAGCGACATGGCAATTTAGTACAGCTGCAGCAGCATTTCCTGTCCGACTCCAATGTTCAGTTATGAACT